TGGGTCCTTGCTCTATGGTTCGAGCATGGGTCCTTGCTCTATGGTTCGAGCATGGGTCCTTGCTCTGTGGTTCGAGCATGGGTCCTTGCTCTATGGTTCGAGCATGGGTTCTTGCTCTATGGTTCGAGCATGGGTTCTTGCTGTGTGGTTCGAGCATGGGTCCTTGTTCTATAGTTCTTGCTCTATGGTTCGAGCAAGTACGGCCCCTTTGAGGGTCTACTTAGCTCCGTATGTCGTTTAACAGTCATGCACTTAAGAATTGTTTAGTATCACCTGTACGTCATTCATCGAGTGTCGTGACAACTGAAAATTTTGACCCAAAAATCTAAAAAAAATCTAGAGCTCGAACGTTTTCTTTACTTTCTCACGAAAGAATATTGTTAAATCTTGAGTTGCGTTAACCAGGTTTGACACAGTATCATACGCTACAATGTCTAATATCTCTTCACGAAGATTGACTTTAGCCATATGAATCTGTTGAAAAGCAGTGTCGGGGTCTTTTACAATGTATCCACTAAATCCACTAATTAAGTTTAACGTGTGAAATTTTCAAAAGGAGTAACTGGTTATAACCCACCCCCTTTTTTCTTTACATTCCATTTTGTTTTGTGTCTTTAGTCAACTGAGATCCACCTTTCCGCAAAAAAGAGATTTTATTATTTATACTAGGCGAGATCCTTTCAAATATTCCTATGCTCAACGCATGAAATTACGAAGCACCGTTCAACCAAACGAGGTTTATGCCTATGCCTCATTGATAACGATTTTTAAAAAAAAAACTGTGGTAATTTGTCACAGTTCTTACAGTCTAGCCACACTTAAGCTCGGCCATTAAGAGTGTCTTAATTTTTACCCCCTGGCCCATCCCCTTGGGATAGTAAAATAACATTTCCGCTTGTATACTCGACGTCCTAATTTGTATTTGTCCACACCACAAATCCCCGACCCATTGTCGAGACCTCTGTTGTAGTATTTTCCCCCTTTTCAATGTTTTCTAGTTCGACAAAGATTCTTTTCACTTCCAACCATTCCAGGGCCTATACCTTAAAGTGCCGCGGTATATAGTACACCCAATGCCCAGATCCCGCTTCGAGCGAAACGCTTAACTTACTTTTGGGTTCTTTCCCCCGTTTTTCCTCTTCGCTTTTGTGTAATTCCACATTTCTGCGGGGAGGGATTTTGCTCAAAAATTTGCCAACATGTCAACAGTTGTTACCGTTAAATCAGATTAACAGAGAAGCTCGTTATATTTTATTCCAAGGCGCACTTCCCAAGCGCACCACGTTCAGACAACTTGAAACACTTTCAATACCTCTTAGTAATGATTTATTAAAAGGAGAAGTAGATAAAAGTAAGATTCTAGTTCTTTGGCTGCGGTTTCAAAGTGGGTTCGATTTCAGGTTGCTATCAACAATTTTCTTATCTGTGGAAATGCTTTACTAAGTAAAACAGGTTATCCAACCAGTTGCCGTGTAAAGTCTGTTGCTTGTGAGTGGTATTCAAGCTGATGCTCAGTTTGGCTTGAAATATTGCTAAGCATTATTTTTTGCTCAGTACAATAGCTTAATAAAATCAGTCCTGGTGGCACACTGCCAAACATGGTATTTTTCATGGCATTGGGTCAACAATGATACCACGCATGCCAATCTTAAGTCCAACAAAAGAGTGCCCAAAAAAATAGCATTTTGCTGGAAAAGTGGCAAAAAACTCCACCTGTATAAAGGAGATAAAAATGAGGTTTGGCTATGCGTAGGAACTACGAATCCATGTGTTGAAGGTAGGCAAGAATCCAGTTGTTAATTAAAAAAAATCCCCAAGTCACCGTATGAGGTAAAAAAGAAGCTAGTTTTCCATCATGCATCACTAATGTTTCTTATACATTCTCCTTCGTTTTATTTTGGATTCACTCAAGCATTTCAGTCTGTCTGTTTGGACAACATCTGCTCGAAGATTGAGAAAACATTGGGAAGACATTGCCTATTTGTTTTAAAAATATGTTTTAAAAGAGTGACACTTTTGAACCAAAATTACATAAACTTGAGCGAAGTTTATTGAAGCAGAGTGTGCTGTTATTATATTGAGGGGAGGAAACCGTCCCGTTTGCGGTTATTGAACGCAGTTGCCCCTGGCAAAGTACTTTTTCATGTTGTTGAAGCAGAGGAAAAGAAAAGCAGCCACTCCAAAAACTAGACAGGGGGATTTGTTCCGAAGTTTGAGAACAATTGCCGGGTAGGCCCCCAGTTCCGTCCTGCATTTCACGGGCCGCTCAACACGTCAACACAACCCGGCGATGATTGGCACTCGGCCCGCTGCTACTCCCGAAGGCAACTTCACTCGAACCAGAAAAAAAAGAAACTTTCTTTCAAAAGGAGAAAAGCTGGAATAATTGTTCTCTTTTTCTATAATTTTTTTTCAATGCGAGTTGGGGGAGAGAACTGGAGGTTGTGAGTTGATAAACTAAGGTTTTACGGTTGATAAAACGTGTCCTTAAATAAACCTAAAATATGTTAATTGTTGTATTGCACGCTACTTGTCGAATTATGGCATTTGGAAACAATAAGGAAAAATACTCTTGTATTGAGTAATTAAATTACCCAAACAAAAAAATTGGCCTTTCGACATAAATAGGTTATATTGTTTCACGAATGAAATTTTCGCTTGGAGGATTTTTTCCGAAGAATTAATGTTGAAAAAGTTTACGTTTTTATTTGTGAAGTGTTTCATTTGAAAGATAATGATCAAGCTTTGGACTTGTTTCCTCCCTTCCTCCCCCCCCCCCCCCCCAGTGTTCTCTGTTGAGATCTATTATATAGGCCCTATTTTTCTGTGGTTTGTAAAAGCCTATAGTGTACTTTCCTCGCAGGTTCGTTGAAAGTAAGTTGACAACTGAACTAAAACAAAACAAATAAGTTCTGTGAGACGTCAAACAAAGCTAATTGAGCAAAACACGTATACATGTAGTCAATACAAAACCTTACTGAGTTTTATTTGAAAGACACATTCACCGCAAAAAAAGTACATTATGTGCTGACAGAAAATTTAGTTTACAGTCTGGTAACATATTGAGTTCATATAGTGCTGCCTCATCAGGGGAAACACAGGGGACCAGACACGCATGATGGTGTTATCTATTATTTTTATTTTTTTCATTTGCTATACAAGTCCTGTAAGTTTTTGGTAGTCCAGAGGGCCGGCCTATATAGTATCATCTTTGTACCTATCCCAGTGACGGACTGACTGACTGACTGACTGACTGACCGACTGACTCCCCCCGCCCCCCCCCCCCCCCTGCACTTGCGAATTCTGGGACCGGCGTAATATTGCCTATACCGTTTTGTTACACGCCCTTCGATCATATATAGGCAAACCTTACCCAACACACTAGGGGCGGCAAACAATGCAATTTGGTAAAGTTGCACAAGGGAATATCATAAGATGGCAACATGTTTCCAAGTAAAGTATAAGGCAACGATAATTCGACATCAAAACATCATCTTCCGTTGTAATGAATTCCGGAATCATGCATTAGGCTGGGAACCAAAGAGTGCCGACTTTAACTGCGCACATGATCATTTCGTTTATCTTTTTAATTTTGTCTAGTCTATGGTCTATAGCACTCGCAGATAAAACATCGACCCCCTTTTTTATCAAACCTAAAAAAGGACACATGCCAGAATTGATAACCGTAAACAAACCGATTTACTTTAAATGACAGTCGGAATTAAAAGACCGGGCAGGTTTTAAAACTGACGACGAGTACGAAGGTCTCCACTACCGGCCCGACGCCCTTGAGAGTAGCGTAGAAACGACCCAATATGGCGGGCCGTATGGCCCCAGCTAAAAGAGGTCAATCTCGGTCACTTTACAGTCGGACGACGACTTGACACGGGACCGAAATGTACCTCTTGAAAACAAAAGAAGAATCGAGGTGACCGCAGTTACAATACCAACGAACGGTCGCTTGCTTCTGACCGACTCTAGCCACCTGATTGTTGTCGGGGTTACCGTGATGTTATTGGGGGTGGGATCGCGGCAGTGGCAAGGCTTTATCCGTTGAACACACTTAGTCCGCAGGTTTTTGCCCCCCACTTCAGGCCGAGCTCCTCAAGTCAAGTAGGGATTTCTAGAACCTTCCTGCATCTAGAAGTAAGGACACCTGAATCAGATTCAGTGTATGTGTTTTGATTATCTATTGAAACTGACAGAATGAATTCGCTGAATTCGTTACGTTGTCAAAGGAACAGATACGTTTACTGGCCAGACGATTGAAGTTCGAATCCGTATTTGACCTGAAACGTTTTTTGGTCAAATTGATACTTTTCCGGGTCAAAATAGCACTTCTCTTGGGCACTTTCTGGGTTGGCATTTTGACCCGAAAATGTTGGCAAAAGTATCATTTTGCACCCCCTGCCCCCCCCCCCCCCGCCAAAAAAACCCCAAAACCAGAATGTCATTTTGAACCTGAAAAGTATCATGCCAAATGTCACCCGGGACTTTTTTGAGTGCGGGCTGGATTATTTTCAGTATCTTGACGGACTGGAATCCTGTCCTGATATGAGGACAGCTATGTATGTAGTGTGTATACCACCTTCACAATGCACTGCATCTTATTGGCTCTTACGGATACCTCACCTCTTTATTAATCAATTTTTTAAGGAATCAACACAGTCGACTTAAGCAGGCACCATGGTCCCACTTCCAAATGTCTTTTTCTTACATGACTATGAAGCAATTGGAACTTTAAGCCTGCTCAGGAACACACGTCACTGTCAAGTGAACGTGTATAGATCCAACATTTACTAGGTGCTTCCGCACGAGCAAAATGACGCAACCACTACCCCATTAATGCAAATAATTTGGCGACCGCCATAATGTGCAACATAGCCAAGGCAAGGCAGATCTAGAGTGCCTGAACCGTGCCCAAGAGGTCGCAGGTTCATCTTCGTTGTTCACCTTTGAAAAATGTCCTAAATGTTCCTACTTTTCTCTGGTTTGAACAGAGATGCAAGGACAAGCTCAACTCCTTGGCCATTTCCGTCATGAACCAGTGGCCTGGTATCCTGCTTCGCGTAACAGAGGCGTGGGACGAGGACGGGCACCACGACGAGAACTCTCTTCACTACGAGGGCCGGGCCGTGGACATCACCACCAGCGATAAGGACCGGACCAAGTACGGCATGCTGGCACGATTGGCTGTGGAGGCTGGGTTTGACTGGGTCTCCTTCGAGTCCAAGACTTGGGTCCACTGCTCTGTCAAGTCAGGTAGGTCTCTCAGGTACCATTGGTTTACAGTGCATGTTTGTATACACAGTAGGGTTATAGTCGAGTCCATCACAATTTCGCCGTCCTCACAAGTCCTCACAAGTCCTCACAAGTCCTCACAAGTCCTCACAAGTCCTCACAAGTCCTCACAAGTCTTCACAAGTCCTCAAAAGTCCTCACAAGTGGCCGCATCATATCTCACAAGTCCTCGCAAGTACTCACAAGTACTCACAAGTCCTTCGTCCTCACACGTCCATCACAACTCATCCAGTCCTGAGTCACTATTCATGTAAATGAAAATGCATTCCATTGTATTGATCCCGGTACTGTGTCCCTACTTGAGAATGGACTTATAATTCACTCACGGTGACTGGACTCGAATCGACTGCAAATCTAATACACGGGATCATTTTTCTCAAACTTTGGGTTCGGTTTCGGCAAATTTTCGGTGCAAATTTGGTTCGAATGCATAAACTTTTACCGACCCTGGTATTAAGAAAACTGAACGTTATATCTAAACAGGTAAATGAATGTCAATTTAAATCTAATTTTCATTTTGGGCGGAATAGTTAGCAACAGAAAATTCCACCTTTTATGTTTAGGCTTTCGGAAGATGCATGTAGATTTCGACCGAACCACAACTTACAACAGCTTTTCTTCTACGTCGCGGCAACCCACCGAAATTTGAAAAGGAAAAATATTTGTGCTTTGAAAAAATTCCAACAATGTTTGCATTTCTCGTTCTATTTATGCCATTGTCAAGTTTTAATGGCCGTATTTACGTCTGTCGGCTGGCCGGGATGAAATCAAAGGCGAAAGCGAACCAAGTTAAACTTTGCTTAGTTCGATTTGTCCTCCCTTCATGAGACCACGCCATGATAAATTCCAGTCCACCACAAGATAGGACTGCCAGGAATACCTTTTCGGAAGCACAAATGAGTTGAGTTTAACCCAGTTTGTTCAGAGACGTAATTGTGTGTCAATGTTTGCCGAGCGAGATATAGTAAGGGCAACAAAACCGTCTGTTATCGAACCGAACAAAGGAAGATGGCGAATGCGAACACAATATCGGGGTCAAGGGTCAAAGTTCGTGCTGTCTTTGCCAGCGAACTCTGCTGCAAAGTAAACGGGTTTTATTTGCTGCAAGGGGTTGTCAATCTGCTCGTTCCCTTCACATGTTCAGCAGTTTCTCATCTTAATAGACTTCAGTTAAGTTTTGTAGAAAACCTTGAGGTTGAAACTGTCAATTGCATTAAGTGTAGGCCCTACCAATCGGACTGGAACTTCATACACCATTTTCCGTAAGCGTTAAGTTTGTGTAATTTGAAAGTTGAACAAAGAAATTGACTGGAGCGCAGGGTTTGAACTAGTCTGAGTATCACCCGTTCTATACGGAGCGAGCCGTGTGCTCCGTACGAACGTCAGATACATGCGTGCATGCAAATATTATGCAACGCAGCACATCAGCCAATCACAGCCGTTTACCGTCATTTTCCGTCCAGATTGTGACGGAGGATGTTGATTAGTCAACAGCTGTCAGCTGACTCAGCAGACATGGCGGCCTCCATGAAACCAACTTTTGTCAACAGAGACATGCTTGTACGATATAGTAGACGCCTGTTGATTGGTCAAAACTTGGTGGTCAGTACGCGGCCGTCTTGCATAATTAATCGTGGAATCTGCACGCATGTGATAGACGCTCGTCTTCAACGAGCGTCTATTACATAGACTAGGTTTGAACCTGCGACCTCCGGATTACCGTTCTGATGCTCTACCGACTGATCTATCTAGCCCTATGTTGGCGGTCCTCCATTTTGTCAATGTCGTTTTACAAGAGACATTGTATTCCAAAATTGATGAAGATGTTGTTTGTTGTTTTTATTTCATTTAAGCCTATTTATTTGATTCTTTTCTTTCTTTTTTTGCTTGTCCAGATTCTTCGGAAGCTGCCAAGTCCGGCGGGTGCTTCCCTGCAGATTCCCTCGTCACTCTCCGAAATGGCGAAACAAGAACAATGGCCGACCTCCGGATCGGTGATAAGGTCAAGGTGGTGGACAAATCCAGCGGACTGGTCACTTTCAGTGACGTCATCACATTCCTTGACCGCGACCCAAGCAAGGACACGCTGTATCGCGTCATTCAGACGGATCGGCCGGGCTACACTGCCACCCTGACCCCACAGCACGTGCTCTACGTTTCGGACACGAACTCCTCTTTCACCGACAGCAGGGCCATGTTTGCCAGCGACGTCCACACGGGCCAGTACCTTTACACCACAGTACACGACCACGACAGAGAAACAAGGCTGGTACCCGCCAGGGTGACTGGAGTGTCTACAGTACGGAAACCAGGGGCGGTGGCTCCCCTCACATACCACGGCACATTGGTCGTGGATGGCGTTGCAGCCTCCAACTACGCCGTTTTGGACGTTGATTGGGTCGCCCACGGTGTCTTCGCGCCACTCAGATGGTGGCATAGCATCAGGCAGTATCTCGGGGCACCAGCGCAGACAGGACTGCCTACCAGTGATCAAATCCACTGGTATCCTGCGTTTGTGTATAGAATCACTGAGCCAATCGTTGGTAGCTGGTACCATGCCGACACGATTGATGTGTAGCCGTTGTAAAGGCGGCCATCTTGCGCTTCACCTAATTAACTTGACCGATAAATTCCAGCATTTTGATATTGATCGCACATTTTATTGGAAAGTGGACTTCAGCGTTCGAGGATTTCAACGTGAATAATTAAGAAGGTTTAGTGGCAAGCGTTGATCGCATGTGTAAATGTCACTCTGGTATATAGGCCTATTACGCGATGCAAATTAACTTACTTGTAATACTGGTTTTTAAGAAATTAATGTAATTGTAATCACTACGTAGTTAAAATGTACGAATTCTGATGGAAGTTGCATGCATTGGTCGCCAGCATGGACGCAACTCCATAGTCTAAATCTCCATCCACCCCGGTCCAATATGGCTTGCAGTTTGTTTCCTCTAAGATATTGGGTTTGGGGGAACAAGGGCGTTGCACGTCCCGTTGTGCAGTGTCTTAGGGGCCAGATGGGCATTATAATTATATATATTGTGGGGAGTATAGGGGCGGGGTTCCTACATCAGAATTTGGTACATGCAGCATAACATTGGTCTGTTTATGCATCTATCAACTGTTTCCCCCTCCCCCCCCCCCGGGCTGCCCCACCCAAGACGTGGGGATTGTCAGTTTTGAAGTGACAAAAATCACAAAATCCCCATCCCTCTGGCAAAATTTAAGTGACAATCCACGACATACATACGTGGGGCGCACTAGTAATTGCATTTCCATGTAGTACGCCAATGGTAACAATTAGTCCGAAAATTTAGGACTCTCAATACTGTGTGTGAGAGTCCCAAAACTTAAGGTATTGAAAACCTGCAATTAAGACTGGCACCTGAAACAACCAGTCCAACACCACTTTAGTACTGCATCAATCAACTGTCGGCTGACTGTGCCAAAAGAAATATCTAGGATGTCGGGTACTAGACTTCAACTTGGTCACTATTTCTGCACATTTCTCGATAGTCAGGCACTAGACTAATGACAATGAATAAAGGAGTCAGTCTTGTCAAACAGTTGGACCATGGATATGGACATGTACATTTGATAGGTTAGTCACACGACCCAAAAGGATCATGTCAGAATATAAAAAGAAAAAAAAGAGTGACCAACTTTTTAAAATAGAAATATCAGAATGTGGCTTTTTTAGATGTACTTTTTAAAATAAAGATGGCTGCATATACACCTCTTTCCTACAGTGACCCCGCCCCTCAAACTTCTATAAAGTGTGTCAGTACATATAATTTTTGTGTATATAGCTTTCATTCTCATTGATAAAAACAAAATTATATCATTGTGGTAAAGACGTTTTAATGGCGACGAACCTACAAAATCGGTGACATGAAAAATTCATATTTAGAAAAACGTAATATTTCACAATGCGCCCTCGTATTATTTTCTATTATAGCAACGACTGTTTCTAGAAGAAATTAAGACTTATTTCCTAATTTATTTTCACGGTGACGAGAGTTTACGCTGTTTTAACAAAAAAAGGTGCCAAAAATAAAGACTTGAATTTAACATCAGTACATTTAGTACTGAAATACTGCTAATATTTATGTAATTTATAGGGGTTTTATTCACTTAGCGAACACTGTGGTTATTATTTGTTTAACACGCTGCTTTATTAATAAAAAAAAAACTCTACCTCAAATATGTTGGGGAATTTTGCTTCTAGAATAAAGTTTAAGATGTGTAACAAAAATGGCAACAATCAAATTTCCCTTTTATAGTGAATATAATTATATGCTCCAAATTTAACCCATTTATACCTAAGTATCTTGTACTGTACGACAGGACTAGTTCTATTGGAGAATTTGTATTCCGACATTTGTCAGTTTAAACATAAGTACAATACCTTTTCTAGAATAAAGTAGAGTTATAATTCATTGAGAAAAAGGTATGAGATTAGTAAAGAAGGGAAAAGTGCGCTGTGCATAGAATAATGCTTTCTGCGATATGCGTAAAATGCATTGGAATCTTTTATTTGTAGTTATACCATTGTCCTAGATGATTTGCATTCATTTAAATCAGTCTTCCTGAAAGTTGTTTACTTTGCAAAGGCGGCACTAGCCGTAGATTGGACGTTTACATTCTCAGTAACCAATTCGATTTAATTTTGTAAAGTATGTTGTATAAAGTCAAATGTTTAATGCTTCAATATGCAAAAAATTGTACAAATTTAGATGTCAAAATTATATATATTTGTTTTAAGCTGTTTTGCATAAATGTAATAAATTAATCCGAGTTATCCGTGCGTTTTTTGGTTGCTAAAATTGGAGATTTCAAATTGTGACATTGGAGTAAAATCTGTAAAAGAAATAAAATGGCCATAAAGCATAGACAGCGCCCTCTTGGACTGAGTGGGATTACATTAAATGGAAAGTGTTCGATCAGGATATCATTGGTTATGATCCCACGTGCCTGCGCTCATGGCAGAGAACTTTGGTATGGAGGGACTGAGAACCAGTCTTCGCCAAAGACCGAAGTTTCCAAGCCGTTTGAAGATTTTGTACCACATACGAAGGATAACATATTCTCAATCAAAGAAACGCATTCCATGCATGGAATAAAATAATAAACATTCACTGCACTATCACAATAAGGACTAAAGCTTATGGTATCGAGATCATACCAATCTCCCCCACTTTAACAAATTAAGGCTCCTCCCCTCAAGAGAAGAGTTGAGTTGGTAGATGCGCGTACAACTGAACGCGCGCGATGCGCAAAGGACGTCAAGCGTATACCACGCGTTTATTTTTAAAAACAAATCTGCCATTATTGTGAAACACGCAAAGACACACACATTGAGGCAACTTCGTTCTTTCACCATTTTTCAAAAGCGGACTCAATCTCGTCAGACAACTAGCAAAATCGGATAGCTATGGATTTAGGCCTTGTCGTGACTTCCTGGTTAACCTGACTGTAGTGAAGTTTCTGAGCGCTCGACATTTTTTACTGAACATGCGAGACGTAATGCTAGACAAATTAGCAGTTTGTAGCTTCGTCATCTTCATTTTCAGCTTTCTGGCTCCACGAGTGCTGGGTAAGTATTCCACAGATTAAGTTATCACTTTGGGAAATAGCTGACGCTGTTATATTATACAAATATTTGGAAGGTGTGGTATTAACAGACGACAAAAGAGGCTGCGATTCCTGCGAAATTTGGAAACTAATTTCGTTCTTTTTCCCCGACAGAATTTGTGAAGTGCAAACAGTAAACTAGTAACTTTACGGAATGATGAGGACGCAGATTTACGATCTGGCGCAGATTTGCGATCTGTCAATTTTTTTGACGCCAGGGGCGGTAAAAATGTCATCGAAAATTCCACAGGAAAAAGAAGTCATTCACGGATTTATTAGCATAAATAAGTAATGATGATGATTAACAATGTAAGTTAACGTTAGGCCCTAGTCCTTTGAAAAAAAGTTTGTCGTTTGCAGGCTTACCTCTACATTCCAAGACTGAGAACGATGTCACAGACTTCGACTTGACGGATGTACATGGTGCAAACCATGAACACAAGAGGGCAGCATTTCTTCTCAATGGCGGAGCAAACTCGCGTGAGGATGATAGTTTTTCACCACATCGTACAAACGGCACGAACACTAAAAACAGAGAGGGGATTGGATTGCTGAGGATCCGCCGATCATCGGTAGGTCATCTCCAGGGCTGCTGTTTAGGCATTTGTCTGGACTTGCACCAAGACCGGATTTGCCCTTGTGCAAGTCTCCGGCCCGATCCCTGACAAGACTCACAAAGGTGTCAAGACGTTGTGGCGGTAGAGGGCGCTTGCAGCACGCTGAATCAAATGTCTTGGGAACAGGCTGGCACCAGCACTCGGATCAGGGAAATTCCGAGGCGTACACACGCGCTATTTTAGAAGTCTCGAGGTATTGTCAGAATGTCTCGAGAGCGAGTGCCAAAGTTCCCAAGACTGTACGTACCTCCATGATATGATTAACTTAAAGCAGAGCGCCCTCTGTCACCACGGCGGCTTGATTACACTTGTCGGGGACCGATTGAATTATAGGTAACAAAATCCATTGATAGACCGTTTCCCGGCCCCCATTTTTTAAGTCCGAATGACAATGGGGTCAGAAAACCAGATTAAATCCATTGAGAGGTTCTTGTTTTCTTTAGATTCCGCGTGAGGGCAACACAAGCATGGGCGTCGCGAGGGGGGGGGCAAGGGGGCACTTGCCCCCCCCCCCCCCGGAAAAGCAAAAAAAAAAAGGAAGAAAAAAAAAGAAAAAAAAAAAAAAGAGGCGCGAAGACAAAGTGGTGTAAATTTAATGAGTGGGGGGGGGGGGGCCAAATGTCCTGCCCCCTCTAAAACTGATAAATCGAGAATGTGTTGAGAAATACAAGCATTTTTTGGCAACATTTTTTTTGCCCCCCTCTAGAAAAAATCCTGGCGACGCCCATGAACACAAGACCTTATTCCCAGTCCCTTAATAATTATCCAAACTTCCCATGATTATCTGGCGGATGGTGGTGTCGGCACAAGTGTACGGTGATGCTTCCATGCTTTCCTTCGGTATTCTTAACATTTTCAACTGAAATACATGTAAATGGGATATCAGGATCTAGCAAGTGAAAAGCACACATCAACTACCAGGTTGTCAGGCCTGCAGAAACAGTGCACCGTATCAATGCACACATGATTGTGCATGATGGAAAGATATATTTATTACATGGTACAGCGTGTGGAAACATTCCATAATCTCTGAGATCTATACAATAGTTCCCACTTGCAACCAAGTTCTTCTCAACTAGAGCTCTCTAGTCGGCATTTAACAGCAGTTATCTCATCAATATTTGCTCATTTCTCCACACATGACAGGATGATTACAACTATGAAGAGAAACACGAGGACTATTATGAAGGGGGAGGAGCCGAGGAGGTGGGAGGGGGCAGGAAGCGAATGATCGCCTTCACCATCTTCTTTCTCTGGGTATGTTGGGTCTTCATTGCTTGCTCCATCCTGCGTTTGGTGGCCAAGAACATGGCGTGAACAGGTCTTGGTTTTCTTTAATGTCACATCAGATTTTGGCGCTTGAAACCTGTTTGTACTTATTTATGTAAAAAACAACTCAGTTAAACATGTTGGTAAATTTAACTTTTTGATTAGAGTGTAAGAATGTAATACAAATGTGTCTATGATCAAGTGTTCCTTTTTTAGTGAATATGCTCCAAATCTATCCCATTTTAAACCTAAGTATCTTGTATCATACGACAGGACCCGTTCTATTTGAGGATTTCTATTCAAAAATGCGTAAGTTCGAAACTATGTACAATCCCTTTTGAATACCTATAAATCAGTGTGGCAACTCATTGGGGAAAGGTATACATGTAGATAAGTTAGCTAAAGGGAACAAGTGCATTTTACCTATGCCTTGTGTGATGCGAGTAAAATGAAATGGAATCTTTTATTTATGAGTTATACCGATTGACCTATATGATTTGTATAAAGACATCTCATACATTTCACTTTGCCTAAGTTTTTTGCTTAAGTGGCACGAGGTCTAACCAACAGAAACGTAGATTGAACCTTCACTATCTCAGTGACTAATTTTTAGTAAAAGTATGTTGTATAAAGTCAAAATTGTATGTTAAATGCTTCAATATGCAAAAATGTATATATAAAAAAAATACTAATAAGTTGTAAGAATTATATATATTTGTTTTTAAGCAGTTTTGCAGAAATATAATAAATTGATCTCAGTTAGGCCAAAAAAAAAAGTCTCCGGTTTCTGGTATGCGCGCGCGTCGCCGTAGCCATGCGCGTCGACAAAATGAAAAAGTTTTTTTTTCAATGAAAGATGATGTCTCAAAACCGCCAAACTCACTGGTTTGACTGGAATTCTGCTGCTGCGCAATTTCAACGTGTTTTTAGATGGGGTTATGATCGAGAATAAGCTTTATGTGGCCTCTCTGGACTACCATATATTTGCACCAAGTTTAGTCGGGCACCATTTGCAGTCATCAGCCGACATTTGAAGCAAAAAAGTCGGGTAAAAAAAAAAAAAAAGCCGCGTCGCCGCACCACTTTTTGGACAAGCTCCATACCAGAAACCGGAGACTTTTTTATTTTTGGGCCTTATCCGTGTTTTTTTTACTGCCAAAAGGGGGATTTTAAGTCAAGACATAGCGAGTAATTAAGACGGTCGCACTTAAAGTGACGCATCGTCTATGGACTTTGTGCACATCGATACGTCACTTAGTGGTGCACCCGAGAAATAAATGGCCACAAGGATTGTCCGGCTAAAGCCTCACCCGGTATTTCTCTTCAATTCAAGTTATCTGCCAATAATACATGTAAATCTTTATGAGAGGAACCGTTCAGAAAAGAATTTAAGGATGATGGAAAGGCTTCCATTCCGTTTTTTCCCTTGGGTTGCAGGCAAGTTGACTGACAATGGTGTTTTGTCCACTATTTAAGTGGGAATTGTTAGTCCAGTGACAAGATCCAAAGACAATCACGCTTGTTAACACCCGGACATTTTTCAAGACATCAATGAACACAAGTATCACAAGATAATGTTGAGGAAAGATGCACAGTATTTTATTACATGACTGACACGAAACAAAACAGTGCAGCAGTGTTAATATTTCACATTACTGGACGACTCTTGGTTAAAAACTTCCTTTTGTTGGGAAGTACTCTGCTTGTCGCCATGGTTTGAGCTTTAAGGATATACAGCTCTAAATAACCAAGAAAAAAGCTTTTATTATTTGAAATTAAGCACTGATTATCTGGGGTCAAGCCCTATCCTAACACTTGATTGACAATTCGATGAATTTTGCAGATGCGTTTAAAGGAAAAGCAGCAAAACAAAATGCTATCTTTCTTTGTGGTTTTTGAGGAACTCTTCCCACTTGGCACATTTGAAGATTCTCTGGTACAGGTACAAACTGGATCAGACTGGTTCAAGCCGGTCAGGTGCAGTTCAGTGCTGGTCGGTGAGGCTAAGGCTTGTCAGAAGGGGGCTCATACTGTGATCTTCCCTCCCCGCTTACCAGTGTGGCATTATTTACATGAACACTGGCAAGCGAGCTGGAAATGAGATGGCTTAATGGGCCTTCCTTCTGAAAGAGCAGCCTGAAGATGGGAAGAAAAAAAGATACAACATTTTGTCAGAAGAAATTACTCCATGTTGAAATTGCAAAAGCAGTAAGATATCGGGTTACGGTGTTGGTTACTAAGTTCATGACGACATCAGTGGGATAGGCTGATCTATTAACCACAACCATCCCAACCCTTCAAAATCCAACTACATGTACATGTTTTGTTGGAACCTGTTGGAGTGAGTACTGCACTAGTAAACTGATTGTGCTTTACATGGGGTTAGGCATACCACCATAATCAGAGTCCAACAGTTTGGGTGTCGAGTTTACCATATGCTGTTGAATTTTGCCAGTATACAAACATAACATGGTTTGAGGGTGGACAGTCGATATTCGCTCCCCAAGGTATTGGAAGTTGACAAACTAGTTCCTGAGGCGAAGCCGAGGGAACTAGTTTGTCAACTTCCAATACCGAGGGGAGCTAATATCGACTGTCCACCCGAAATAAACCATGTTATATTTGTTTTACTATACCTCATACATATTCAGTTGCCGAATTTTGTTTTATTATGATGCACCTAAAACAAAATTCGGGGAAACTTGTACAGCTCACCAAAAGAATATTGTTGCTCAACTTCAATTACTAGTTCGGTTCGTTTGCAATATAATACAGTTACTACAGTTGTAAATACAGTTGTTTGCAATGTGTACAACTTTCTTTTGTACAGGAGACATCTTTACACGGTCTATACATTTTCTCCAGTACGGCATCATTGAGCTCTGGAAATTAACATTTATGCGAACCGTGCAACCATGCATATCTCCTGGGCGATGTTCGCGCGTGCGTACTGCACCCGTGCGACAGTTCCTCAATTGCTCTGTAAAGCGCATGCGTAGTAGACTGTCGCCTACTACGCATGCGTATTTACAATGTGCGTGAATCCTCGCGCGCGCGTTTGGTAAACAGCAAGAGTAACATCTGGCACGTGATGGTGAATTGACCAGTGAAAGTTCGGCTCTCGATCATGAATATATATGAGGTATAGTAAAAGAAATTACCCCATGTCTGGAAGGGTTAGGTTAACCCTAACCATTCTAAATGCAACAGTTTGCACCAGCCGTACAAAGTTGCTGCATTTGGCAGCAAACTCAAGTCCCCGTGCTCTGTTGCATCTTGTTGCATTTAGCAGGGTAACTGCTCAAAGTGCCAAGGCGATATGAGTATCCACTGTTGCAGTTTGTTGCATTAAGCACGGTAACTACTTGGTGCCAATGTTGTGGTGTGCACTGGATTCATTGCACAATGCAACGGAATCCACTGTTGCAGTTTGTTGCATTTAGCAGGGTAACTACTCAAAGTGCCAAGGCGATATGAGTATCCACTGTTGCAGTTTGTTGCATTAAGCACGGTAACTACTTGGTGCCAATGTTGTGGTGTGCACTGGATTCACTGCACAATGCAACGGAATCCACTTTTGCAGTTTGTTGCATTTAGCAGGGTACGCATTGGAGTCGAGTTGGATATTGTTGCATTTAGCAGGGTACGCATTGGAGTTGAGTTGGATATTGTTGCATTTTGCAGGGTACCTAAAGAATACTTTTTGGCTTGATTTTTACAAAAGCAAGGCAGGTAAATTCTGTGGCAAATAAATACCAGTTACATTGTGGTCTGATCTAGGTGCCAATATCCGGCCACCACCACACATGCGCACCGCACACACTTCCCAACTCTTCAATATGGCTGGCTACGCGATCGGACGCCCGAACAATATGTGTACCCAAAATATGGCCTAAAAACCAACTTTTCCTCGTATGATTTCAGTTTTCCCTAGCTAAGGCCAAAAAAAAAAAGTCTCCGGTTTCTGGTATGGAGCTTGCCCCAAAAGTGGTGCGGCGACGCGGCTTTTTTTTTTTTTTTTTACCTGTTTTTTTTTTTTTTTTTTGGCTTCAAATGTCAGCTGATGACTGCAAATGGTGCCCGACTAAACTTATTGCAAATATATGGGAGTCCAGAGAGGCCACATAAAGCTTATTCTCGATCATAACCCCATCTAAAAACACGTTAAAATTGTGCAGCAGCAGAATTCCAGTCAAACCAGTGAGTTTGGCGGTTTTGAGACATCATCTTTTATTGAAAAAAAAACTTTTTCATTTTGGCGACGCGCATGGCTACGGCGACGCGCGCGCATACCAGAAACCGGAGACTTTTTTTTTTTGGCCTAATGGATTTGTCTTCAATAAAAACACAAAGTGAGGTGAAATTTGTTGTTTGGCAGCAAAAGTGATAGCCAGATACGGAACTCTTTGCCAACTCATCAATGATACTGCCCACCACTGCTGTGTTCTTACCTTCTGTTAGCCTGGCCTTGCCACCTGTGGGTTGGCACAGCACGGTGGAACATCCTACACACAGAACCACAGTCTGGGCATGGCTGAACACAGTCGTGATCTTGTAGCAACCTGAAATGTAAACAAACACTTTCCAATGAACTGCTGTTTATTTGCATCCAGTATTCTCTCCAAGAGGTATTAACCCTAACTGTCCTCAATCCTTCAAAATCAACCAGGCGGTTTTTGGAGGATTTTGGAGGATTGAGGCTGATTGCCATTTTAGAGCCAGCTGATTTTGGAGGACGCATTGTGTCAAGGTCTTAAGCAATACCTTGTATTGTTTATGCTTAGCCATGCATAAATTATGCCTGGATTATTTTTGACATTTGAAGTTCACTGCTTCTGGATATCATCCGCACTGCTTCTGGATTTTGAAGAATTGGGGCTGTATTCAATTTTTACATGGTGGCAATTGGAAGATTCTGAAGGATTGAGGATGCATCCTAACCAAAAGGGCCTAGGCGGAATAAGGTCAACAAGGGCATGCCACCCTAAAAAAAAAATACTCTTCCCTTCTTATATTTCATCGGTAAGCAATACCAGTTATTATAGGTCCTTTGCAGGGCCCCATTCAAGGTCTACACAAAATGGTGTTCACAGTTTATTAACCCTAACCGATTAGGCCCCGCTGGCTAGGATCCATCCTCAATACCTCAAAATACTCTGATTGCGACAACGTAAAAAAATCAAATATCATTTATTACTTGAATTTGAGGGTCGACCACTGCCTCAATCCTTGCAAATCCTCCAACAATCACAGTTAATACATTGAAACAGTACCAATTAAATAAGTGGAGTTTAATTTATGCATGGCTAAGCATAAATAATACAAAGTATAGTTTAATGCCTTGCATCCTCCAAGATCAACTGGCACTAAAATAGGATACAGCCTCAATCCTCCAAAATCCTCCAAAACCGCCTGGTTGATTCCAGAGGATTGAGGAGGATTAGGGTTAAGGTGTAGGCCTAAAAGCAAACATTCAGTCATGCAACTGGGAAATCCCCAAAAAAGAGGAAATTCAAATTTTTTTCTCCAGACTTTGTACAGTGTTTTTCTATTTTCAATGGCACACATGGGAAGTAAAAAAAGAGGAAATCAGCTGATCCGAGGAAAAGTTGCATGCCTGAACATTACAATGAAACTTTAATGCTGATGACATGTCATGACATTCACTTCGCTTTTGCTTTCGTGTGAAGTATGAACAAGCTTTTACACACTGTACAGAGGGAGGGTGGCAGAAACTAAGTTATACCTGGGCACTTGACGTCCATGAAGTAGGAGTTTGGACTCTGGACCAAGCGCTTCTTCTTGTGCCTGCGCTTCTCAGTCTCGAGGCTAGGGTTGATCAGATCTCTGGCGAGCTGTGAGAAGAAAAACAAATGACACAAGAGAGGCAGTGGTTAGAAACTACATGTACATTCAACCGCTGAGTGGGTTTCTTTCTCTCATGGAAAGGAAAATATATATCAGTCAAATTAATTCTTTGTGACTATGAGAACGGTTCATGCTTCCCAATTTGGGGATTGTCACAAAACAAACAAGAACTGAGACATGTGAAAGAAGTATCTGCAAAACTGTTCCAGTTATCCACAACTGTTTGAAAAAAAATGTTGCTGTGTTGCCCAGTTTAAACAAAAGTCAAACAGACTTTGTAAAATATTAATTTTTTTAACACCACTTGCATGACAAGCAATGATTAAAAAAAAAAAATAGGTCTATCATTAACTTAAGTGAAAGCAGAGAAAATAAAAACCACAATATGACTGCTGGTAGTCTCTCCATAGAGCAAGGAACTCTCGTATAAAAAGATAAATTATAATCCATAACAATTAACATACTGGCATATTTAATTTAGATGTTCCACAGAAATCCCTACAAAAATGTACAATCCAAGTTGTTAACAAGAGCTCTTTGTGATTGGAAACTCTTTTGGTGTATGAGCTCTTAGTTCTAGTAAAGTTTTTAAAACACGACAAAAATTGCACAACTCCTTTGATATGCCAGTATAATAAGAGTGGGTAAACATAAATTTCGAGGTGTTGTGCAACACCAACTGACATGACTGTCTTGACAAAAATAGCCCAGCCCCAGGTAGATGTCAAAATACATTGTCATACAAATGAACATGATTATTATAATAATATGAAGTGAAAGAATGACAATTTTCATCAGCAAAAATACAAGTGCGAATATTAACAGACAGTGCAATTTACAATCGACACGTTTTTAAGTTTATGCCCGCCGCGTGGCCGTGGTGAAAGCTTCGAAGATGGCATGCCAGCAAGTAAACATGCGTGACGCACTACAATTTACCACGGAATTGACCTCGGTTTTGCCCATTTTATACCGCATCCCAGCCAAAATTTACATGATGTATGTGATCCTTGATTCTTATTTTATACGATCATATCATTACTAGTCCGCAGAAATTCTTTGTTATAGAAAATAGGGGAGTTTTGTAGGAGAACTCACAGGCATGGTGATCGTTTGGTAAGATCCCAATGGAAAGAGGAAGAGGTCACGTGATCGCCGTTCGCTTCAGCTGGTCCCCGCGCTAAGTTCATACTAACTTCATAGAGGACCGTGGAGCCAGTGTAAAAAGTGTTTTGCAACAACACGTGGTGGCGCTATGGCGCTATAACAGTCGTCTTGTTACCACGATTATTTTTAATAAGGGAACATCTAGGCCTATCTATGTTCTTTTTTGCTTTACTAAGCCGATCACCAACAAAAAATATATCTCCTAAAAAACGAGAGTTTTGTGGCCAGCGTGAATAATGTAAAACGTGCGTCCCCTCCTAACTCACTAGTTTTATACTGTAAGTAGTTTCGCTCTTCACTGAGTCAATGATCAAGCGCGCTCAGTTCATCTATAGATGGCCTTTCAGTCGGCGGCCACCGATTATCGCTACTTTTTTTGCGAAACAAAAACTATTTGTAACATGCAGGCTGCGAGTGCTATCAATGTGTATTTTTTGGTCTTATATGGCCTAGGTCTACCTTCACTTTAAACCTGTAGAAAGGAAATAGGACATATACCGTACGGAAGCGTTGTTTAATGTTTATAAAATACAATTTTATTTGTAAACGACTTTCTTTATCGTTTCGACAAGTTGAAATAATAATCAAGGCGATGTTTATTTCAATTTTATTTTATTTACTACTTGTATAATATCATTAGTGCCCTACTAACCAGACGGTTTGTTTTTCATGACTTGACAACGTTGATACACACGCCGCTAACTTGGATTTCCTCCGTTTTCATCAAAAAAACAACAAACCCAAAGTTTTTTTTGAATAACACGATTCAAAGCGTCAAAATTGTGTTTGACCAACTCAAACTAGTGATGAGACGGTGCATTAAGGGCCATGTACCCGATTTTTTTTTTAAACATCCAATACTTGAAATCCGTGAGTTCAAATTAACTTCATTTTCAATTTTCCTTTTGCAATGATTATGCCTAATAAAAAGTAAATACATTATTAAAATATGGGCCTATACTTGCCAAGCCCGACATCAGCATTAATCACAACTGCTATGAAAACAAATCAGACTTTCATTTTCATGCTGAATGCACCGTGAACAGGTCATGCATGGGTGTTACTTATACGAAATTTCCTATTTGTAGGAATGCGCGGAAATTATATTACTGTCGGCATCCGCCAAGTTTTCTCTAACCGCAACTGCTATTGTTAACAAATCATAGATTCCTGCTACAGTCCAACTTGAACCAAGCCCACTGAGTGCCAGATTCAAATGCTGAGGTTTGTTACAGTTCCTTCAGATTTCAGGACGATAAAATGTCCTTGTACCTCACTTTGTTTACATCTTGGTGCTTGAAGGAAAGTCTGGGCAAGGCTGTGAGTTGTCGCCATTTTTGTTCAACGACAGAGTAAACTTGAAACGACCACACTGCTCTTTAATTCGTCTCCGAGTTTCGACGTTCATCATGGAGTCAAAGCGTGTTTATGTCATCTATAACAAGTTTTCCGATGTTCAGACGTAATTGGGAAGAGTCAACACAAAATATGGCTCGCGTGTGAAATCATCGGGCCATCAGTTTCTTTCTCTATGTACAAGCGAATGGATAATCTGCCTGCAACGCCTTAACATCCCGTCACCACCCCATGCTAACTTACTGGGAGGAACAACTAATTAACCTCTCAAGAACAACCACCACCCACACAGCTAAGTGTTGAATGAGTGTGAGCTCCATCGCAACAGTTTTCTTTTTCATGAAACTTCACGTTTGCCACAATGCCGCAGTGGACGCCGTCTCAGTACTACACGGACCTCATGCCAGCCACCGCGGCAGCGATCGCCCGACGTCCAGCTCCGCAATCCCCACCGCCTGAGTACGTGGAGCCCGGTGTTTCCAGCCTGGCCGTCACGACGCGGGGATACGAGCACCTGTATAAATTCTTGTTCATCGGCGACTCAGGAGTCGGGAAGACGTCGGTGATTTGGCGCTTCTCGGACAATACGTTTAACGGTGCCTTCATTCACACGATTGGTGAGTAATGGTGCCTCTGCTAAGATTTTTTTCCAAATGAAATGACATATCTTTTGTGATTATATGAAAGAATTAGACAATTATATTTCGACACTGTGGTTTACCTGACATATTTTTTGTTTTGCAAAAGTGCTTTTCTTTTGCGATGTTGTGATTTTCCCAATTGTGATTTCGGGATTTCGGGGTCACGGTCACGTTCACGACTGAGTGTTGTGAATACGTACTCGCAAATGCAAGGTCCTTTCTGGGCCATCGTTGTAGAAGCCAGGAAGTTCTAGCCCGCCGGCCCGGGCGCACGCGATTCAAGCTCAATTTTAGGGGTAGGGCTTAAAAGAAAACTGCGACTCAAAAGTTTGAGTAAATAACCCTTAAAATTAAAGCATCTGGCTTTTCAAATTCACCTTTAGAATCATGCTCATCAAAGCACGACAGGGCTCCCATCGACTTTTAGCGGCCCATTGTAGTCTATAATCCTACAAAATGCATGCATAGCGCATAATGGAAAAGGAAGTTCAAAAATATAACGTCTGCTCCACCAAGCTTCAGCACGTAGTACACGACATTGCAATGTTTGTCACTGAGGCTCACTTCAGGATTAACACGTAGGCCTTTGTACGTCCTGTATGAAACTTGACAAGAAGTGTCCTTGTCCATCTTAAAAATAGCCGGTCCAATTATATTATAAAATGTTCAAATTCCATGTTTTGATTTTGTCTTTGCAAAAAGCAACAACTTGAATAAATCGGTTGCATTGGAAGAAAATGCTGAATGGAAAATCAAAGCGCTGTCATGATACAAGTCGATTTCAGACCAAGCGATGATGCCGCGTATCAATATTAAAGTTCGTGTTACTATATACATCATTCTGAAACTGCTATGTGCTGTGTATATAATTATATATACGTTTTTGAGTATACAAACGAGCATGAACAGTTAACACCAAACATAACTGTTTCAACACGAAACTTTGTTGAAAATGGAACATTCTTGGACACAACCAAGTCAAGTCTAACACAATGTCCGGGACATGTATTTTCCTCGTCCGGTCCGGGTACAATAACCTAGAGAGAGGAATTACAAAGGGAAGAATGTTTGAACTGGTTCCCACCACCAAAATCAGTATTTCCGCCCACACAGAATCTGTCAATAATAGAGGGAACGGGAACCAGTCTGAAGAACTGTTGTACTGAGTCAATGTCATGTGTTTTTATTATAATACATTGGAAAATTCCATTTTCAACCGAGTGTGTTATCGTCATAATACTGTCGAAATGGCTGAAGCAAAAGTGGCGCACGAGAAGTCATACGACTATCTTTTAAAAATAATCCTCATCGGCGATGCAGAAACGGGAAAAGTGGGTCTCTTGCTTAAATTTACAGAACCGGAACAAACAAAGTTCAACTCTACTATCGGTAAGAGTTAGTGAAAATTGTACTATAACGTATCTTAATTTAGGGTCGAGACGGTTGTGAAATAAATAAAGAGTCATCATGCGAAAATCTATAGACGTGCACGAACGCTAATAAAACATTCAAATTTATGCACGCACGCGTAAAAGCTAGCATATAGCAAGAACTTAGCAGTAGGCCTATGGTGATGCATAATTAAGCAGGGAGGTAGTGGGACTAATTTGATATGAGGGGGGGGGGAGTTGTGACCACAAATTTGTACCAGGAATCTGTTCTTTGGATGGTTGAAGGGGGAGGGCTTGACATCATCTGATTATTAGTGTCGTTGTTCAAAGCCGATATGATCGTAGACACTATCGGATACAGGGTGAGTCAAAAAACATTGTCAGGACCATTGTTTTAGTAAAGTTCTAAGTGCAGCACTTTCAAAATCTAGGATATGAAAGCTCAATTTATAAGCTCTCTTTTAGTACAAGAATCATTCAAATAACTCAAGTTACGGACTTTTAAACACAACCACCGTTTTAAAGTTCTGTCCACGGATCACAAAACGGTAAGTGTTCATTTAGCAAAACGAAAACAAATCACATAGGATGTGTGTGAATTGCTTTCGTTTTGCTGAAAGAACGCACGTCACCTTTTGTGTGATCCGTGGACAGAACTTTAAAACGGTGGTTGGGTTTAAAATGCCATAACTTGAAAAGTACCTGAGTGATTTGAATGTTTCTTGTACTAAAAGAACGCTTATGAATTGGGCTTTTATATACTAGATTTTAAAAGTGCTACATGCAGAACTTCACTAAAACAATAGTCCCAACATTTGGGTTTCGTGGTTTTTTTTACTCACCGTTAGTAGCGCTCTTTGTTGCGTCTTACTCTTAGTTGCCGACCGACACTACGAATTTACCGACATACATGCAGGGAGACGATTTTGCCAACAAAAAAACCCCAAAAGTAAAGCTCGTGGTCTGGATCTGGATCTGGACCAATACTGCAAGCAATCTCCCGTTATGGGATGTATAGGTTGCAGGTGTGTGTGACTGGGGGCACTAATAATAAGCTCTGCTTTTTATACTTGACAAGTTTAGTTTCAGTAGATTGTCCTTAAATGCATCAAGTGAAGGGGCCTCTCTCACAGATGCTGGGAGGAGGTTCTATTCTGCAGTAGTTCTTGGTAGGAAGGAGTACTTGTGACTGTCCTTGTTTGCGGGTTGTCTTATAAAGGATATTGATCCTGTTGTGTGAGTTTGTACACCCGTCGTGCTTGAGGTATGATGAAGATGGTCAGAATTTTATTGCTGCTCTGTGATGTATGGATTTGTATAGCAAAGACAGGCGTGCAACCATTCTGCGTTCCTCTAGAGGTCTACAACTTAGCCTTGAAATCATGGAGGAAACACTATCGGTCTTGGTGTATTGGTTTGTCACAAATCTAGCGGCTCTGCGCTGGACTGCCTCAAGTTGAGATGAGTGTTTTTATGAGATGGGTCCCAGATGCTAGCACAATATTCCAAGCGTGGGAGAACAAGGGTTTAGTAGGCTGCTTCTTTTACCAGGGGAGAACAGCTGTACAGATTTCTACGGATGAGACCCAACATCTGGTTTCCCTTTGTAGCTACTTTACTGATGTGCTGTGCCCGACTATAGTATAGGAAGTTCATTTGCCGACTATAGGAAGTGCCGACTGGGAGAAACTAGTATGGGGGGGGGGGGGTTCCACAAATTATTAATGGGGGAGTACCAGCCCCAGACCCTCGTCTAGCAATAGCCGTGGTGGTTCGTGGCTCTATAACCGCCCATGCCGGGCCATGGCTCTAAATACCAAATGAGAAAATTTATCGGAAGGGGGGGGGGGGGGGGGTGTCACACCGCCCACACCCGCCCCGCTGTATGAATATACGCCCTTGCATGGGATTACACACATTTTAGTCGAACTTTTCAAATTCTGTTGACGTTTTCGCTTCTTGGGGGATGACAAATATCATCCTGAGTCAAGATCGGCGGCGTAGAGTCCACGGTGCTTAGGCCATACGAAAAAGCCGTGCGCGCAACCAAATAATTATTGCCGAAGCCTAAAAACATTTAGTGGTCATTGCCGAATCCTATACGTGTAAAAGTAATAATACTTTCCCCTCATAAAGGCAGTTGAAGCCTTAAATAAAAAGGAGTGGGCGTGTTATGTAACCTCTCGGTGGCACAATTATTTTGAATCGTGTATCAGCGAAATGCGCCCTCAACGGCGTGCGTGGACTGATCACCCGACAGAGTCCAAATCGTATTAAAGCCATACTATGGTCTCAACAATTCATCCTTTACAAAAAAAAGTCAAAGTGCGTATTGGTGTATTACCGAAGTGGTATCAAACTTTGCACTTTGTGTACTTTGATTGGTGCGGTCAATATGGCGAAATCGTCGAAATCAACCGGCCCTTATGACTGGCGCTTCAAGTTACTTCTTACGGGAGATTCTGGCGTCGGAAAAACCTGCGTCATGACGAGATTCGCGGATGACGCGTTTTCTACCTCCTTCATTTCAACAGTAGGTAAAGACTCCATCTCAAAACAAACAAACAAAACACACTATTTTAAACAGCTGTGCATCAAGTTCTAAAAATATCTTAAACTTCTAAGAACTGTTTACATTGTGCACTTGTACTTCACCCCATTGCGTTTTTCAGTTTGCTTTTGATTTATTCTACCATTATGTTATTAGTCGAGTTCTGTATTTCTCCGCGAGAACAGTAGGCCTCCGTGACATGTCGTGAGGCTGCATTCTATTTTAATTGAACAGAAGATTGATTAACAATTATGCTTGTCACATTAAGTAACAAACTTCGTGGTTTCTTCTTTGGTTCCATAATTCACCTTTTGCAGTACTTGTTAAAGAACATATATGTTTGAAGCACTGATTTATTCAATAAAAAATGTGATCCATAGAACAGGAGTTTGTGTATCCGTGAGTGTTTACTTTTAATAAAGTTGGCTTTGTCATCAGGATTGGACTTTCGACGAAAACTGCTGATCGTAAACTTTGTCCCATGCATGCGCACGTGAACGCGTATCTTGCTGTACAACAAGATGGCGAACTTTTTGGAGAAGCCCGTGTACGACATGCATATAAAGCTGATACTAGTCGGCGAGTGCGACGTTGGTAAGACCAGCATTTTGCTGCGATTTGCGGAAGACGATTTTCGTCGCTCACTTTTGCCCACCATAGGTGAGACTCTGGCTGGAATGCCAGGGAAGTTCGAATTTATAGGAATTACAACATCACTTCCATCGTTTATATGTATATATTTATAAGTGTGTTATAATCCAATTTTCTAGTGATATGAGAGGGTTTAATCGTAGGTCTCTGAGGTTCGAACTCTCACCCGGCATCGCCAACGAGTCCCGTTATAGTTTTTTTTTTTTAAATTCACGCGCGATAGGCTAGTCTAGAGTGTCGTTCGGTTCGCCGGAGAAGATCGCTCACTAATGCGCCTATCAATTGTTTCCCTCACCCCTCCCCTCCCGGGCTGCCCCACCCAAGACGTGGGGATTGCAACTTTTGAAGTGACAAAATCCCCACCCCTCGGGCAAAATTAAAGTGACAATCCCCGACCATGCCCCGACATACATACGTGGGGCGCAATAGTGATTGCCTTTCCATTAGTACGCCAATGTTAACATTGTAATTTGAGTGACCAAAATCCCCACCCTGGGGCATGAAAAACGTGACCAAATCCCGACGTCGAACCTGGGGTAGAGCCTGGGGGGGGGGGGACATTTGATAGGCGCATAAACGTTATAATATGCTCTTGTGCCTGCAAATTCCATGCGACCCCTGGCATCAACCAATCGGAGCCGACTTTAGAAATTGTGATGCAATTATCTTCGTGAAACGAAAGTTGCTGATTGGTCGACAGCTCGTCAGCTGAACGTATTGCATGAAGAACATGGCGGCCTCCGCAGCTGAATTGAGTGTGGGCAATTCTGATATGGAAAGTTGGTATATCCCTGTTGAACAAAACCACACACCTCCAATATTACTCCAGTGTAAACAGTTTACATGTACTAATTGTATACTCACGGTAAGCTAAAGATGCAAAAATTACACAAAACAAATTTACGCCCTTAGCTTCACAACAACAAAAAGACACATGGCCTACATCTAAAATAGCACATCGCCTTTAAACTATATACAGTATCGAAAGTTTTATATTTTTTATCTCAACATTTATTATTATATTTTTGTTTGCTCCCGGTTATTTATCAGTCCGTTATCCCCCACCCCATCTTCAAACGACACGCCCCCCCCCCCGTTTGTTAGGGCTCCTATAGCTGTTTTGACACGCAATATTAAAGGTCGAAACGGAGACAATCGGACAGAAGACTGTGAGGTTGTAAAGTCACGATTCTTATCGATGCTATAAGTTGTAAAGAAAACTTTGAAGTGTTATATGTTTACCTACCATTTGATTTGAATTAAAGGGGAAAACATACTCGATATAGATGAAGCATGGATGAATTAAAGCAGGGTGCCTAGCTAGCACCTCTGCTTGTGCAACACTCGCAGGTCAAACTCCACGGTGACGAAGCTGCAGTGGCGTAACTGGTAGTGGGAGGGATGGGGGACAGGACCCCGCCCGCTCCCAGCTCATGTGCCCCTCATAATATACCCGCTCTCACAATTCGCATGGAGAAGTGCAAAAATAACTTTATATTGTTATTCTAATACTATCAAACCCATTGCGTTACACCAAAGTCACATAATTATCATTGTGTTCCAATATAACGGCCCTATCAAAGTGGGTGGGGGGGGGGGGTGATACAACATTGGAAGGGACTTACCACCAGCTGGCTTTGCAAATTCGACGGGAGGGGGTGGGAGGGGGAATACACCTCATTTTACGCTCTGTGTGTTCTTCCTTTTCCCTCTTTACTTTTAAGAATCCGTGTTGGAGAAAGGGGACAGCGCTGGGCTGATTTAGCTCAAGGGAGAGGGAAAAGGGTTTTAGCATGAACTATTTTGTTCTGCATTATTTCCTACATTTTTGTAGGGGTCTACCCGATATTCCCCAACATGTATGTTCCCCAATACCGATGTTCCCCGAAATCCTTAGGATAGTAGGGTTAGGGTTGAGGGTTAGGGAACATCGGTATCAGGGCATGGAGCTCTGGTATCGGGGAACATGATTGTATGCACCCTTTTTATAGGATCACAGTACCTCCCCTGGTTTACAGGCGAAAAAGCAACTTAAAATACTAAGCCTGTTCAAGGAATTGCATTTTTTTAAAGTTAAAATACAACATACAAATTGACAATTAGCAGCAGGAAAAACAACTAAATTTTATACCTGAGCAGCGGCGCGACTTGTGTTGTAGGCTATATGTATACAAATGTAGGCGATGTGCCTATGGCCTACGAAAAATTCGGGGCCTACGAAAATACCACAGTGTGCCATATTTTAGGCCTACAAGTACCCACACACAAATGAGAAACAGGAAAACAAAATAGTCCTGGGGATAGAGCCTGTTTAAAGTAATACCTTAATTATTTCACTATTTTACGATCTCGTCATTTCTAAAACGACTAGCAACGAGATACTTGACAAGTGACACCGCACCGGTACAGGGATGACGTAAGCGGAAGTTACAATATTCAAATAAGGGTGTTTCCCAGATTGTTAGCTGGTATCCAGCCGCTGCGCGGTCCAGTGTTTGTACGTAATGTTATTTGCAACGTGACAAAAACGAGGCGGGGATTAGACGGCCGTTATGCTAGCTGTGCACAAAAATATAGGACGGGAGGAAGAGGGTGTACGTAGAGTGGGTACCAGGGATTAAGTGTAATTTACGATGTAGTGAAAACATGGCGAAAACCTACGATTTCCTCTTCAAGCTACTTTTAATTGGTGATTCTGGTGTCGGGAAAACCTGTGTACTCTTCAGATTTTCGGAAGATGCCTTTAACTCAACGTTTATTTCTACGATAGGTAAGGATAAATCGATCTGTCGAAACTGTAGTGAAATTACGTTGATCAGAACTGCGAGTCTGCGGCCAGTGTAGCGCAGGTGCTGCGTTGATCACTCACTCGGGCATCATGTCCATAGCCATAGCACTAGCACTCAACAGTTTATAACTCAGTGCAGTGCGCGACGGGCAATATTGCTCCACACTATATCATGTAGTAGTACATTACTGTGTCAATACACGTAGATCATAAGTGGTTAGTCATGCTGAACAGTTTTCAATTCGACCAGGCAATAAGGAGCAACTATAGAATGCAGGGCCACGCCGGAGCAAGGTTTTTTATTTTGCTTGGAGGCGCTAGGCGTGGATGGATAGGAGTAATACTATGCAAACCTGCAAAAAGTGCTAAGTACAGCGAATGCACTTTCCTTCTTAGCTTCTCATGAAGGATCGGAAGGGAGGGCGTGCTTGTAAATGTGTTGGGGGCACGGTACGGATCGGAGTGGCGGAGGCGCGGAGTCGTGGAGTCGCGGAGACGCGGGGCACTGGAGTGGCGGAGTCGCAGAGACGCGCACCGATAGAGGGTGCAATTCTCGGAGATATCGACTGCGGCTCCACGACTCCACGATCGATTTTCGGAGGTAGGTCGACTGCGGCTCCACGCCTCCACGCAGCCGTACGGAGGCGCGGATGTAGAGTAAAGTGGCCCTGCATTCTATAGTTGCACCGGCAATAATATACTTGTCTTGAAATTGAATACATTTTGTATTTAAATTGTATTATTAGGGCAGTTCAGCATGATCATGATGTCTTGATGATGATGATGAGGCTAGTTATCCAGCATGTGACAGACAGACATGTCAGTATAGAACGGCCTTTTTTGCTCAACTATGGGAAAGGAGAAAGGGGCAAAATTTAGGCCTATCTGTGTCTTTCTTCTCCCAAAATAGTGCCCATTTTTTAATGTGATATACATGTATACTTATTATTACACTAGTACACATTTAAATTAAACAATATAGGCTACATTCTGAATCCATCTACAAAAAAAAGTACAAATTTTCCAAAACATTTAAATGAAACCCACAAAGTGACGTGTTTACTCTGTCTGCCCATGGTCTGCCCTTGATTTGAAGTAATACATGCGACTGAGTCATAACATAAGAATCATAAAATATTAAACTAAGAATATAAACATTGTATGATTCTTATGCCTGCATAAGAGTCATAACATAAGAATCATAACTGATTCTTAATATAACATAAGAATCATAACTGATTCTTAATATAACATAAGAATCATAACTGATTCTTAATTTCTATTGTCAGCATAAGAATCAGTGGAATGAAGCTAATAACATGCCCTCTTTTACTTCCCTACGTTTGATCTACCGTATTTTGCGGAAAGCCTGAATATACATGACAGTCACAAAATCCTGTACTTCCTAAACATCTCAAATGTGTGGCTGGCAAATGTAACATGACTCGCAGAAATGCAGGAACTTTTTTGTAGATATGGCAGACTCATCTGCATTAAATTTATGGTACAGCCTTAAAATGTGTTTTATTGCAGTCTATACCATGCAAACCTTCACATCTTATTACATGTAAATGGGCAGTGCCTAACAAATTCTTACTATAAAATAAATGTAGGTCATAATCCCAGCTGTTCTTCATACTTGAATAACGTCCATCATTGTATTTTAGCCCCAATTCTACCCTCTTCCCAAATACAACTGTCAGTTGTTTCAGTCGCTTGTCTTCTTTTCATGGTTTTGTACCTTTGTTTCTTTTACTACAGGTATAGATTTCAAAATCAGAACAATAGATTTAGATGGCAAGAAAATCAAGCTACAGATATGGTGAGTGGCTCTTTTTAGAATGCATATGTTGTGAACTTCCTTGTTCATCAACAATAAAACCGGTTGACGTTCTTGAAAAAGTCTAAGCGCTAATTGAAGTAAAAGGTCAAGTTTTACTTATCTGATCTGTAGGCAAAATATATATAAAATGGTCTCTCTCTCTCTCAAAAAAAGTAATACTTGTATGTTCAAGGGTAATGCAAACGGCAGTGGAGTTTACACTTTTTCTCATGCAGCATCTTTGTAAGAACTTCTTGGAGCGGTTAACTTTAATCTAATGCTGTGCTATGCACCAGTGGCACATTATTTCTACTGGAACAAATGAGACATGGAGGGCCATGTAAATTAATAATAGTTTGGATTGTACATATATATGCATGGACTCCTGAATAATTAAGAACACTGCACATCAGTGGCTAGTTTTAGCCTCGTAAGACATAAACTTCATAAAAATGCAGACAATAATACTCTAAACCCATGCTCACTTTCTCCCTTTTCATACTTTCTTGTTGTTCTGATGGTTCTTGTTACAAATCAGTGACTTCTACAATTTTGGATAACCGATAGTCTCCTGATGACGAGCAGAGCATACTGTTCAAAATGTCGAGTTAAACCAACTGGTTCTTCTCAGAACCACACAACTCACTAATAGATATCATTCACATGGTGTTACCGCAAACCTCCCATTCATTGATCATGTCCACCATGCAAACCTTTAAGTCTTAGATGACGATATGTTTTGATTTTTTACATTTTCTACAGGGACACAGCTGGCCAGGAGCGGTTCCGAACCATCACCACTGCCTACTACAGGGGGGCAATGGTAAGAGATTGCAGAAATGAGATTGAGTTGTACTTGTGCTAAGTGACAAGAAATCTCTTTTGTGAGTTGGTTTGGTTTTGTGAAGAACCAGTGGAAATTAAACATTTCAGACATTAGGGTAAGCTCTGCCGTCGTCAGGAGACCGACGGCAGGTAGCATTTTTATTTTCTAAACCACACAAACTCATAATAACAGATTGCTTGTCACACAGTTCTACAGCAAACCTTAGGGTTAGGTTACCATTGGAATCCATCAGTCTTCCAACGACGGGCAGAGAATACCGTCCAAAAATGTTGAGTTTCTTACATTTTTATTCAGAGCCTCACAAACTCCCAGAAGAGATTTGTGCAATGTCTAACCATAAACCTGCTCTTATAGCTTACTTACTCTTATTGCAGACTTCTCCATGAAACCTTCAGTTTATACCAACTGAACTCCGTGTGGTAGTTCAAATTGATTGTGCTAAGATGCCGTTTTATAATTTTCACTTTTTTTCTTCTTCAGGGGATCATGTTGGTTTACGACATCACAAACATGAAGTCTTTTGAGAACATCAGGAATTGGATCAGGAATATTGAAGAGGTACGTCCATTGAGAACACTGCGCTCATTATTTTCAATTGCTTGTTTCCATGAAATCCATTTTTTTTGTCAAAAAAAAACCTTACAAAAGGATCATTTCCAAACATTTCATTCAAAAATATATTTATTTTCAATAGACCACATCCATTTTTAATAGTTGAACTAAGAAACTGACTAGAGCAGGGCTTGAACCTGCAACCTCCAGATTGCCGTTCCAGTGCTCTACCAACTGAGCTATCAAGCCTTACATGTATGTTGGCGGTTGCCTATTTTGTCAGTGTCTTTGTTCAAGGGGCGCTAGTCAGAAGCCATGCCATGTAAACTTAAAAAAATTACCCCTTAAACAACAAACGGTGATGAGTTTCAAAAGACAAAAAAGAGCTTTTGTTTTGTTGGCTCTATATCCTGAAGTGTATGTTGTGTTACTTTTATCCTCTGTAGCATGCCTCATCCGACGTAGAAAAGATGATCCTGGGGAACAAATGTGACATGGATGACAGAAGGGTGGTCACAAAGGACAAGGGAGAACAGGTAATAATAGATAGTCTGACCAGACTCTCTGTGTGTCTGTATGGTCAACAGTTTGTATGTTCTGTCAGTTCAGGGTTCTATATCTCTGTCTCTGTTTGTGACATACTCTGTGCGCCAGAATGACAATCTGTTTGTTTTCCTGTTGCCAGTACTGGTTTTGTCACAGTTTTTCAGTATTTTAATTTTTTTTAAGATCTTTAAGTTTTTAGTTGTAAGTTTTGTAACATTAATAATCTTTTTACGTGAAGTAGGTCTTAATTCGGCAGATTGCCGCAATGACCTTCTATTGTAAGCAATAAACCAGTGCAATTCAATTCTATTCTATTCTTGTTTATCTCCTCAGCTCGCAATAGAATACGGAATCAAGTTCATGGAGACGAGTGCCAAGGCTAGCATCAATGTAGAAGAGGTAAATTCTTTTGAAGTAATTAAAAAACGTTGTGCTTTATCCCTATGTTATTTTTATTAAATGAAGTGAACCGATATTTTAAAACAGTTTTTTTATTCTAGGTTAGTCACTTTCGTTTGGACTTCTTCTTGATTGTGCAAGGGTTTCTCTAGTGGTAGATCTCTAGGGGTAATTCCCTACACATTTCCAAACGCTCATTTCCTTCCTCGTCTTTGCCTGTAGAGACTTTCCAACTTGGTTGTTGGGCAATTTCCGTAAATTTGGACATACATGTCAGACACTTATGAGTTGCTGTTGTAAAAGTGAATGTGATACATCACTAATAATGTGACATCTAATGAGTGGGAAACAATTACAGACCAAACTAAGATACCACCACCTTAACGACCTTGTACATGTACATCGCGTGGTTGGACGTACGTTGGGTTTTATGGAATGGCCCTGTTGTAGAGTCATTTAATTAAATTTCCAGTTAAAATACTGAAATTACTGTCACACTAAAAATAATTTCATAATTCATTATCGTATGGAAATGATGGGATACACTTGTACTGGAGTTTGTTCTTGTAGGGAGACCAAGCAGTATATCAATAACTGATTGAGATTTTGATTTTCACGAAAACCATGAGTTTGCTGGAAAAATAAGAACAATAGAACGAAAAGTTGTGCATTGTGAAAAGAGTTTAGTTTTTGACCAAAGACTGACCCTTTTTATCTTTTCCAACAATATTTAAATCTCATTTCTGTGGTTTACTTCCAGGCTTTTGTAACCCTAGCGAGGGATATCAAGGCGAAAATGGACAGAAAATTAGTAAGTGGTCAACATCTTTGCATTCTTAGGTAGGTTCCAATATTTACATGTACATATTCACTGGTACCCACCACCCTATCCAATGGCTAATTTCTTTGAGCCCTGATAGGCTGGATTCGATTGAAACCAGTGAGCTGTGTCATCTCTTATTTATTAAAAGTAAATATGCACTAATCACAAACTGTAAGCTACATACCCAGAATGCCTTGCATTTCCTTCAGAATGTTTGTGTAAAAGATAATCTTCATTCTTTTGATAGGACAGTGGGTATGACTCAACACATGTACAATGTTCTCGTGTTTTGATGTGCTAATGGTGGGCAAAAACATGATGGGGGTAGCAGAGGTTATGAGGATTAACAGGCTTAGATGGTATGGACATGTGGCTAGGAGAGAGGCAACACACTGGCTCCAGAGAGCTTTAAATTTTCGAGTCACCGGAAGAAGGCCTCGTGGGAGACCCAGAAAAACCTGGAGGGAAACTGTAGAAGAAGATGCCAAAACATCTGGTATCGCTCACATGGACCCCACAGACAGGAAAGCTTGGAGAGCAGCCATTAAGGAAATGAAATGTCCAACCCCACAAAGTGGGACAAATGGACTCTAAACGCTGATGATGATGATGATGATGTTTATAAGCAGAGGAGGTAGGCATCATTGTCACTTTGGAGAGCCGTTTCTAACATTTCTATACCGGCCGTGTCCAAATTACATGGCTGCGGCTAGGAATAACACACTAGTCTATGGGAAGTGGCTGCAGCTGCTTCCATAGACACGTGTAATTGGCAGCCATAGCCAAGCAATTTGGACACGGCTTCACTCCAACTGGGTTTTTCCCTTACTTCAACAGGACACGGGAGGCCAAGGGAAGGGTAGCAGTCCTGTTCAGGTCTCAGGAACGACCACACAAAAGAAACGGGAATGGAAGTTCTGTGCACTCCTGTAATGTATATAGTGTATTATCTTACATTTTTTTATGCTCGTCCATGAACATTTTGTCTGACGCCACACGACTAGCTTCCGCCAAGGCAGTGAACAGTTTGGTGAAGTTTGAAAGGATGTGTCTTGGTATCCGTTTTTTGTTTTTGTTTTTTCTTATTAAAATCACAATGGAGCTTATTGATGAGGCTGATCAGAGCGTGTGGAGATTTTTTTTAGTGGAGCACTGCGGTCCATCAGTCATGAAGGAAAAAGTGCCTGTTCGCATAAGTATCCATTTGGAACGACAGAAGGGCCCGAGTCTTGAATAGCAAGAATGAACCAACAAGTGAGCCAACTAGAACAGGAGGCATTGTCAGACGTCTGGCGTTTTACTTGTGCGTCTCTGTATTGTCTTCATCACAGAATCTTAAACTCCAAGTTACCTAAGTACCCAAAAGTTCAACAACAAATTTTGTAGTCTTTTAAATAGATTCATGACTGTACAGTCCAGCTACTGTTATTTTTTGTGGGGGGTTAATCTCTGTTTTGTTTTGTAGTGCACAGAATGTGCCAATGGTATGATGCACACTGTTTGTTTTTTGGACGATTTATGAACTTTTTTCAGCCCAAAAAACGAGTTTCCAGAACAAGGTATATTATCCTCTTGCTGTTACTGTCAGTGCTGAATCTTCCTTTGCCTCTCATTCACATTGATAAACCAAGGAAAGACTTTCAACCACATTTATGATTTCTGACGTTTGATGAAAAAACTCCTTTGCAGTAAAAAAAAATCCCTTCTATCCAAACATCTTTTCCCTCCAAAATCCTCATGTAATCTTACAACATCCCAAGTCCACCACTTTATTTGTATTGCATCAGACTGTCTCCTAGCCCTAGTCCACTCTGATTTCACTTTTACCAAACTGAATAAATACTGAAGCCATGCCCATAAAAGTTTGCTTTCACCTGACGGATTTAGAAAAGTTTAGCTTAAATCCAAAATCACTTTTCAGTATCCTAGTCTTTCCCTGTTTCCTTGGCAACTGGCTGAATATATCAAACACCGAGGCCTTGGCAAGGGACATCATCTTTTATATTTAACCTTTTTTTTATGGAGAGTAGCTTTTCTATCTTTTACGATTATTCAGTTGCATACATCTACATGTAGTTGCAATCCAGTCAGGCACAGAAGGCATCGTAAGTCAAATCACATGTGCAAGTCAAAAGTAACAAAGGATGAATAATCACAAATTTATTTGAAAAGCTTGTGACTTAAGAAGGGATGAATTGTGATGACGCCATTACAACACTGTACAGTAGTTGCATGCATCATGTAAATACTTGACGCTTGTGCTAACCAGTTTGTCTATATTACTGACCTTTGACCCAAAACAATGACCTCTGACCCAAAGCAGGAAGAGATCTGTCAGAATAAAAAGTCACTTGATTTTAATTCAAAACAGTGAATTAAAAATCAGTTGTATAGGATTTGTTTGTCACTTTGAGCTTGAGAATTGAAAATTTACAGAACAGATAAGTTTTAAAATTTTCCTACATTATTATGCTTTTCAACGACAAAAAGCATTTATGAATGGGAATAAGTGTGATGACTCAGTCAGTCTTAACGGCTGTTAAAAACCTTGCAGGGTCGTGGCCATGATGAATTGCAGGTCACAGGTCATGCAAAATCTATCCAACCAGAGCATGAATTCATCAGCATATCCCAGCGTCCTGTTTGCAGGGGGGAGGGGGTACGAGCAAAATGCACAAGTTGATTGTTTTCTTTGAAAGTTTTTGTGGGACTTGGTCGATTATTTGAGCCTATATTTAAAACGTCTTCCTTTTGTACATTGATGCACGAATACTACTCAAATAAATGCACTTGTCTCCCTCAAAAAAAGAGGTTAATTTTTTGACAAAGTCTGTGTACTAAATACGAGGGTTCATAAATGGATCAGTTAAAAAAAATAATGAACAAAATCATTGCATTCCCAGAACGTAATGAACATACAGATTGTACATTAATATATAAAAGAAAGTAATTTCAAACATTCTAAACAGCATATTCCAGAAATTAACTTGTATCAACTTGCCTGCCTTAATTTTAAAAAAAGGTCCTTTAAATTTTTAATTTATGTTTCAATTAGTGAAAAAAAAAAAAGTGCGCTGATAACGGATACGTTTTGAAAACCTGACAGAGTGGGGTTTGTGCCTTTGTATCAAAGTTATTTTAATTTTATTTTTGTGCTAATTTTTTTTTTTTTTATAAAATTATGCTCATTTTAGGGACCAGTGTCATACAGGTAGAAACGATTACCAGAAACTTTGTTGGCACTAGAAAAATTGCTTAAGAAACAAGAGGTTGAATATTTCAAGTATTTTACGAGCTCAATTAACGTTAATGAAACTTTTTGGACACAATCGGAGACAGAAATTTTGTTTGGATTAACTGTTGTGTATTTCATAGATATCTTTAAAAAAAACCTAGACCTAACACTCCTATGCTTTAATGTTGTACGTTTCTGGCCACAAAATGTTGTGTTCTGTTATGTAAACGTCAAACTTTTATTTAAATAACATGCATCGTTTGACATTGTTTGACAGCCTTCTTGCGCATTCATGTGCCCACGATCAGTGTTCAATGTTATGGTCAGAAAATAAAGGGGTACTTCGGGTCTAGGTTTTTTTTTTTAGGTGTCTTAAGTGCATACACCAAAAAGTGCCCTCCGCTTGCGGCCGCCATTTTTTTTCAACACATGGTGCAAGGTTGGAAAGCCTTTTTTAATGGTCTCTAATTTTTTTTCTTTTGAAATTTGTTGACTATTAGTATGTGACAAGCAAAGCCCTATGTAAATATTATAATTGATTAATGTATGTATTCTCTGTAGTATGTAGACAGAAATGTTAATGAAATCTGAACTCGGTCAACATTTTATGGAGCTGCTGAGGACAGACATGTGCTCAACTGGAATAGACACAAAATGGCCCCCAAATAAAATAAGTGTTTATTTTTCATAGGGTACAAAGAGTGTACACATTCAAGTTGTTCCATTACAGCATTAAGCTAGACGAGAAAGAAAAAATGCATAACAAAACCACGAACCCCCCCCCCCCCCCCCCCCCCCCCCCCCCCCGCCTAAAAATGGCCTGGGTTTCTGTAAAGGTGAAAAAGAATGATTTCTTGTAATTTGACATGTAAATAGTTAATGTGAGAATCTGTACCACTGAACCCAAGATGTAAACTCTGATTTTTTTTGTTTTAAATCTACAATGGGTTTAATTGGAAGTTAACGTAATTTCAACATTTTCAGTACCTGTTTAGTATTTATGTGATAGCTGATTACACTTCTATCAACCTAATAGACCTGATGCATAGCAGCCATCTTAGAGGGTAGTGCCTTTGTATTGTTGGGATGTGCATGAGGGAACCATTTGTGCATTCATTGGTACTGAATAAAAAAAAAAGATGCCCTTTAAGATGGACGCTTCGCATAAAGTCTGGTTACAAAATAAAAATATCAAAATTATGTCCTTTCTTTTATAGAAATCATGTGGTAAAAATTTCAAGAAAAGGAAGGACCTTTGAACGTGCATGAACATTAACCCAGATGTGTCAACAAATGCATGTTTGTATCAATAATCAAGTTTGTTTGAAATTGCAGTTTACCAAAAATATTAGTCTTCATGCTCTGGAGACTATCATTAAATAGCCACAGTACAAACTGGTACTTGGCTTTATTTAAATCTGTCATGTGTTGCACAGAACCAGAGATTGCCTTTCTTTTTAAATATTTTCTAAAAGGATTTTCAGGTGCTTGGGTGATGCGCTTTATGAATACAGTTTGTAAACTGTAAAAGATGTGCATATTCAAATGCAAGGCTTGGTCCGTTGTAGAATTACGAGTTACTGAAAATTCCACAGCCAATTTTTCCTTTCACTAATTTACTTGATATTATTTTTTCTACATTGCATGCCATGTTCCTGTGTTCACAACTCTGTAAAATTTGTAAAATATAGACATATTTCTTTTGATTTTCCATGCATTCTTTTTACGACTTGTTATAATTATAATAAGAAACTCAATGTTTTGTAATTTGCTTATAAATTTCTGATGGATTCTGTGCACAAGCACCCCCTCAATGGTTACAAAGGGAGAGTTGGGGGAGACCATGGGAGGGATATTTGAACGTATCGCCAACTGCACTGATGGGAAGACGCTACGGGATCGGCACACACTCTAAATTAAGTCCTGCATATTCATATTTCGAGCCATACGTGTGAAAGCCAGTACGCGCACACTGTATGCCTCTGCCACTGGGGTTTTGAAAGCAGTCACATAGCGCCCTCTATTGTTAGTACTGTACATGGAGTCCATTCAGCCGTGGTTCTAGATCGAGTAGTCTTGGCGATGGAGGTGCCTCTGGGTTAATTACTGACCAATAAACTGGTTCATTGAAAATTCTTGGTGTATCCAATCCATGATGTCAAAGTAATATCTGCATTTACAATTCATATGGTACAACTGCACCAGTTATTAATATAAGCAGAGAATGACAGTTTTGGTTTTCTTGGTGAAAGAAAAATTTGCCATCGTCCAAAAAAATTCAGTTGTTAACATATTGGCTTCCGAAAAAAAAAGTTGAGCATCATAACATATTTGGACCAGGACTATGCCCGCCTGATTCACAAGAGAAATTCAGTGCTTTTAGTATTCCGTCAATGAAAATCACAGCCATTTTTTACAATGTGCCTGGCCTATTTTTTTTTTAACTGACTGTTTATTTTACATACGAATCTTACTTCTTCTTTTTTGTGCTGCTTAAAAATGTAATACTTTTATTGACTGGGGAATCTGTAAGTCAAAGATATAGGAGTACAGTAGTTATGTGAACTGCCATGTAAAGCCGCCTTTTCCTTTAGTGCGTTTTTTCAGTCCATTTTGTGTGCACATTCGGGCCTATAAATACACCATTAGGGATACAAGTCCTGCAATTAGAGGGTTTTAGGTGTTTAAAAAAATTGTAGATAACAAATTGGAATTTTTCTTGTCAACCTCAAACTTTCTGCAAAAATTTCAGGGCTCACCATAAGCCATTTCTCACTATCGCAACCGTGTTGAAATCAACAATGGTCCACTGTGAGTACTGCCAGTGCAAAAGGTTTTCCAAAATCTTGGGGTCGAGTGTTGACCAAGGTCTAATGGGGAGATTCTGGATAGTTTGAAAAAGGGCTTGTACATCCCAGGGCCTGCAAATGCAACGGACACAAAACTGACTGGAAAAAAGTTTCTGGAAAAGCTGCTTAGTGTGTCTGTAGTGGGAAAGTCTTTGCCGATATTCAACTGCCTTCCTTCATCATTCTGCCTATATTGCCTAAAACACTGGTCATTGTGCTGAAGTGTGAGAGCTTGACTTGGAGCCCAGTTGAATTGAGACAGACTTTTGTACGGTTTTGTCTTCATGGTAAACTGGCTTCGGATGAAAGCTTGGGATAAAACACTCCTGTTAATAATGGTACCTTCATGTGAAAAAGTTTAGTAAATTGCAGAATGAAAAGTTGATCTCGAGTAGTTTTTTTTTTTTCAAATATTACACATCTCGTATCATTCAGCTGCCAAGCATATATAGCCTAGTTATCTATTTTCTATTTAATATACATGTACATGTATAGTATTCTACTTCAGTTGTTTAGCGAATCGTAGCAAAGATTGTAGAGTATGGACAATTTCTGGGGAGCAAAAAGAAAAAGAAGCAGAACAAGGTTAGTGCATTCAAGCTTCCAACTTCAAAGCATTTGTTATTGATTGGAATCATCAAAATTGAAACTGGAAATAAAATCAAATGAAAGGAAACTTGGTGTTTTTTGGTGATTTTTTGGGTTCAACTTCCTTTTGTGCAGCATACTTCTGTTTGGAATGTATCCCTGTCTAACAATATGATGTTTATTTTAATTTATTCACACATATGCTAGAACGAATTGATCAAATATGACAATTATCCATGTGAATGACCCATGTCAAAATTCCAACCGGGAATGTTATGTCTTTTCTTTGCACAGGTTTCAGAGGGTATGATTATTTGCATGGTAAAAATAATTTTACATTACTGCATGTGAACCAAGGTCACTTACTGCAACCAAAATTTGAAACAATATACTGATCCATGAACGCCAACTCCCTAGGCCGTTGGCTGGGAACCATCCTCAATCCTCCAAAATTGTGCACTTATGTTCAAATGAAGGATACCCACTGCCCCAATCCTTCAAAATTGTCAGACAGTCCTGCCTCTCAAAATGCATTCATCCTCAATCCTCCAAAATCCTCCTCCTTTCAAATACCATTCATCCTCAATCCTCCAAAATCCTCTGTTTCTCAAACACCATTCATCCTCAATCCTCCAAAATCCTCAAACACCATTCATCCTCAATCCTCCAAAACCACCATGAGGATTTTGGAGGATTGAGGTGGGTTAGGGTTAAGCCCCGCCCCATTGTTTTGACCAATCACAGCTGTGCTTCATGCTTGACATGCTTGCACACACGGCTGGAACACGCAGTGTAGCATTGAGGTGCGCGTGTCTTTGCACAAGTGCGCAGTGGGCGCGGAGCCTATTGGATCAGTTTATTGGCAACAATCCATCCTCCGTTTCCAAATGATTACAATTTACAAATGACACAAGATTTCTAAGTCTGTGACTTTCAAGTTACACTTGCTTTTATTTGAAACATTCCAAAGTTTTTAACAAGTTCAGACTTGTAATCATGATCCGAGTTGAGCATGAGGCAAAATTAGAGAGTTCATACAGTCATGTTCCTAAAAAGTATCTCACTAAAAAATGTTCATGTTTGCAGTTCACAACAAACAAGAACATGTACTTGGCAAAGAAGTAAACAGAAATTAGAATACAATCCTGATAATATGTGACGAGTGGTATCCATCTGTTTGAAAATAGATTGATTCATTTTCATACACCAGCCGAACCATTTACAGAGCCAGATCCAGCTTTAGCTCAAGGATGGGGGTTAGCTGTCAAGGGGGGGGGGGGGGGGAGTTTAGCAGGCATGTGCTACTTTTTCTCTGCATGATTTTCCTATATTTTTCAGCCAAAGGCCACATCCCTGATAAATCTACCTCTGCTTAAATAATCCCCAGAAAATTTTGAAGAAATCCCAGCAGCCTATTTTTATGGAACTGAACACAGCAGAAATGTCTGATTATTCACTGAATGCTGAAGTTACACGACAAATTAAGTGGCAAATGTACTGCTGTATCAGAAACTTTTGGGTTATGAAGATTTGTGCATTGGACTAGCGCTCTGGAACAGTTCTATGCGCATCCTTGCAGTTATTGCTGATATCACTTGATTAGTATAACAAAGGAAAAAGAGTATTCCATCTGACTAATTTCATGCTTTATCTGAGATTAACAATCTCACCAATTCCAAATTTCAAACGGATTGTTTAAAAATCCTGACGACAGGAAAAATCCTGACAATAATTTGTAAATTTGTTTAGCAAGGAGGCCATCCCAGCTGTTGCCCCCCGATGACGTGCAGATGTAGATGGTAGACGCTCTGTGCTCCGTGTTTCCCGTCGTTGATGACGACACGGAAGCCTTCGGTCAGGCCTTCTTGTTTGGCTACTGTATTGGCAACAAGAAGTAAGTGCCCCAGGAGCTAGAAAAGAAAGAAAATGTACGAAGAAACAAAGTCATGAACCAGAAAAAAAATCCTTCAACATGAAAAGTATGCAATGCCACCAAAATAAATCTGAAGAGCAAAACCCAATACTGAATCAAATCCAACATGTGGATAACAAGATTCAATAACTTTTACTTCAAGATAAATGCGGCAAGTGAAATTAATGCACACATCTTATAAGGGGATCATGTGATAACAGAATCTGAATTCTGCATTAATCTGTAATTTTTCATGCGATCAAAAGGACAATGGCAACTTTCGGCCGCACAAAAGTTGGAGTATACAAAAAAAAAATACACTTCACTGTCCAAAATTGTGTACCTAAATCAAGACAATTTCATGAATATTTAATGGCACTGCTATGATTTATGGCGAATTGTTGGTCCCTAAAGGAAACTTGTTGAATCTTGATGTGTACACAAACAGTTGGAATACAAAACTGAACTACTATTTTTTTACCTCTTTATCTGCAGCCTCAGCCGTTGATAGTTGAGAGATTGGCTTCTTGGGTAACACCAGGAAGTGGGTCTTAGCCACAGGTGCAATGTCCCTCATAGCTATGCACTGCAATCAAGCAAATAAATAAATGATAAAATTTTTTAAAAAATCATCAAAGCTTTCTGATTTTGCAGAAGCACATGTCATCACTCATGCACACATGTTTCTTCTTTAGTTAACCATACAATTAAAGGTTTTTTTCCGGCCTTCAAAGTCCACCAAGGAAAGGAGAGGGAGGTTGGTTGCCCATGAAGCTTATCGACAGCAACTGTAGCTAAAACAATACTGAAACAAAGAATGTACACACATATACAACAGCACTTGGTTAAAAATGCTTCCCAACCCCAGAATCGGGACTTAACATGTCCAAAACGAACACGAATGAACATGATGAAGGGTAAATTTCTTCTTTTTTTAATTCTAAACGGTAAGTTAACGCAAGTACTACCATCTTCATTCTGGATCTCTACTGGATCCTGAGGTGAGGGTAAAATCAGATGGTTTTGATGTGCAAGATCTAAAACAATAATGAAAAGCAGTAGCACTTTCAGTTTCACTGTAATATGCACCATCTTGCTTACAGGTTAAATTTACATGTGTTGCTGTGTTCGCATCGCCAATCAAAAACTTTTGCGCTTCCACCAACAACATGCGTTCATTCCAAAATGGACCCACGTCTAGCAAGCGTGTTCCTTTTGCCCCATGAACAAGATGGCGCATATTAATGTGAAACTGCTTCTTGATAGGGGCATAAAATATAAATTCCTCTCCCGAACCACTTCTCTTTTTTTGCCTTAAGCTTAAGCTAGTACTAGCTACAGGTAACACGGTAACATTTTTGCAATGACATGGATGATACAGCGGGAAAAGTCACTTTCATGACTTTATAAACATGATAAAGTTTATGCGTTTGGAATCAACTACATAGTTTGCTAAGATACCATGTTAAATATCAACTAGCCACATTTTGTGGAAAGAGAGCAGGGTTTTGTTTTACAAACCGAACTGGTAAAAACATAATTAATAAGGTGGCCTAGTAAATACTACATAGCATGCATAGCGCCCTCTGCGGTTTTCTTTCTTTTTCTTTTCTGTCTAACTTCCCAGCTTTAATATGCGTTATTGCATTAAGGAACAATCCAGCGCAACTGTAAATAAGTTTACTTTGTACTACAGACCTGCTCATCTTCGTACAGTATGTCACTTGGGATTTCCTTCCTAATGATCTTGCCAAAAATCGTATCGCCTCCCGGCTGCGCTGTTTGAGCTTTGCTGACTTCGTCCGCCATTTTTATGAAAAATGTGAAGTTTCACAAAGATAGAGGGCGTTTGCATATCTCCGCTGCGCTTCCGCGCCGCGGTCATTTTAAAATAGCGAGATCGCAAAACCTAAGGAACGAAACTAATTCCGCTAATCGCCCCCCCCCCCCCCAACATGCAGAAAAATACGTGTAATCTGGTTATGTGTGGACATTTGGGTTTTTTTAATATCTGAAAATTAATTTATTATGAAGTCTTTCTCCGGTAGCTTGAGTAATTCCAGCTCTAATGCCTGTAGGCATTAGAGCTGGACTTACTCAAGCTATTCTCCGGAATTCCCCTTCAAAATATCTCAAACACTTGTCAACTTGCTAATCCACTGATTAGCTCTGTTGGGTACATCGGCCAGCAATACCTGAGCCACACTAGCGGGGCTATCAACTTGCTTGAGTAAAACAACTTAACTAGTAGCAATCAAATTCATCCAGAAACTCCTCAATCACATCTGAAAAGTTTGTTTGGAGTTGAATTTCAATTTGCTAAAGTAGGGCAGTTTCGATCCCCAAACATCCATTTATTTTCACCAACTGAATCAGTAAAAAGGGATATGTTGGTATTTATATTGCCTTTAAATGGAAATTATCAGTATCTGTTATCAGGATAATTTTTAAAAAATAGGAATAACATCAGAAGCAACTGAGCTAAGAAATGCAAGTGTATGCTTAAAAATTTGATTTTTATATTTTTTTATTTACACAATATGAAACTAAAACATTTTGTTTTCATTAATATATTTTTTCAATGTATTTTCTATTAAGCATTCACAGTAACAATACAGGATATTAAAATAACAATATGAATTTGGTAAGTTTCGAATTAACTGACCTTGAGTTAGATAAATATTATAATACAAATACATGTCATTATAACCATCCATAATAATAGTCTGTCAGAGTTGGTTGTGAAAAGCATTTTCCAAAAACCACAATACCTCAGGGTTTTACAATGAAAGTTCAATACTTATCAATCCAATCATCAAGACTTTGAAAAAAAGTGGAATTATAATGAAACAATTCGAATTTTGTCTCTACAAACAAAATATGGAGTTGAGACTTGGATATCTATAATATAGCAAGATAAAATTGTACAGTCATGTCAACTATCTTACTTGCTAACAATTCTTCCTAATTTTCTTAAAACTAGATATATATTTAAGTAATGTACAAGCAATCAGTACGTAGTGAATACCCAAGTAACAAATCAACTAAAAACACCATAATTGAAGCAAAAATACATCTACCCGCACTTATTCTTCATATACATTTTATAAAATAGTGCTTGAAATTAAGAATGCAACCGAAATATTTTCACTTTCACATTTCTATAATTAATTATGCACAAGCATTATTAAAAACACATACATTTGATGTAAATTTAAGTACACTAATTTGAAAATTAATGATAAAACAGAAAATACATAAAATTATACTATAAAAAAATCAGATCAAAGAAAGACATATCATTGCACCCATATTTTACAAGAATAAACAAGATTACAATTCATTGTGATTAAGTTTAAGTATTTACAAAAGTTTATTTCACTTTGCTGATGTCAGATTACTCATTTCCCATAGTCCAGAGGCTGTCTACTCTGATGCTATTCACAACTTTTCAAAACCAGTTTCGATTTTGAATTTTGAACTTTTTACTACATGCACATGTACTTCCAGAGCCTCCAAAATTTTAAAAACCTTTATCTTGAAAGTTAAAAGTCTTTTGTGTGGCAAGAAAAAAATATTATCTTTTTCTCTTTATGATGCTGGTACTACAATAACTAACATTAATCCTTCCCAGTTTATCAATGATCATGTTAAATTGAACCAAGAGGGTTAATGTAGATAAACTACACAAATGCCTTTGTTAAAAAAAACTTATACCTGCAGTAAGGCCAAATTTAAAAAAAAAAAGTTTGGCGTCCCTGCCCACTTGCTTTTTTGAGGCGGCCTCCTTTTGTTTAAACCCCAAAAATGATAAATTTTAAACAGTGACTTCATTTAGGCCTCTTTGTCTGTTGCATCAAGCCCATTTAAAGCTGGTATGTGATTTCCCGAGTCCAATGGCAGCCATTTAAAAAACAATTTGACATGGACTCATGATGTATCAAAAGTATTAGTACAATGATAGGCATATAACTCACATACAATACATGTAAGCACGATACGGTACATTTTGTGAACATCAGGATGAAAAGTTCTACGTTCAGGGTGGATACCCCCCCCCCCCCCCCAAACAGTCTCGGGTCAGAAAATGGGTGAGACAAAGTCTTGCTGCATCTAGGCTTCTGACTCTCCAATTTTGTTGTCAGTAGGCAGGACAGATGGTGCTGAGCTCTGAGGATTGCTGGATAAATCCCTGGTCTCCTGGTAAGGGGGTGGGAGATCGGAAGGCTGCACTCCATCCCCATACTGTGGAGGATTGGGCGGAGGGCCAACATAGGTGCTTGGCATGGGGTTGCTGGCAACCGGCATCTGAAAGTTTTGGCCATTATAGGGATTATAGTGCACGAAGGACGCGCCTTGCTGGGTTGGATACGGTCGCTGGGGGTTCCCTGGCTGGCCAGTGGACCCATAATGCAACGGGACCTGGCCTTGAGGTTGACCTCCTGTAGGTTGACCCGGGATGAACACATACAAACGTTCGTTGTTGGGAACAATGAGGTCACCATACAGCTCGCAACGCATCCTTTGCTTTTCATTGGCCGCCTTGACAAGGCAAGGCATACGAACCAGGTCAATGAGCCACCCGAACACGAAGATGCCTGCCGTGCAGAAGTATAACAGCCCGATGGCAGGACCGCTCAGGTAGAATCGATGGAACCCAAGAATGCCGAAAGGAAAAGCATAGATGTAGGCGTCGTCGAGGTGACGCGTCCAGGTGCGATTCTCCTGAACCTCCTTGTTGTGGCGACTGACGAGGCAGGGCATTCGCATCAGGTCGACCAGCCAGCCCACCCCAGCTAGTCCACCAGTGCACAGGTAGGCCAACCCCTGACCGAATCGACCCATGTAGAAGTGATGCAGGCCTAGGAATCCAAACGGAAAAGCCAGCTGATAGGCATCTCCAAGGGCACATTCCTGGGTTATCTCCACTACTTCTCCGTTCCGGATCCTGCGGATTCGGTCGTTGGCTTCCCGAACCAGGGACGGCATCCTGAAAATGTCAGTCAGCCAGCCAATGCTACCAAGTCCCACACTGCAAACATAGATCACTCCAAAACCTGTACGCCCCAAATAAAACTGATGCCATCCTGCATAATAAATACCAATAATGGAAAAGAAAATTAACAGTTTGCTAGTCACAAGAATAATCTCTAGTTTTGGCTCAAAATGTGACATTAGTTTTCTCCATTAACTTACATTACAGAGGACCCCAGATTCTATGAGTAGAATTTAGTATGAACTTTCATTTAGTATGAACTAATATTAAAGTGATAAATTCAAAGTTACTTTTAAAATTACCATATGGACCAGGCAGGTTTTTTTTCATAAATGGAGTACAATCAATCAACCACTCAGAGTCAACCAAAGAGGATCAGGAGGAATAAAAATGCATACCAAATAATCCCATTGGAAACCACATCATGTAAGCTTCGAAAAGCGTCCTCTCTCTAAGGTCCATGAACCGATGGTTGTACTGGCGTGCCAGGCAGTAACCATTCAGCACAATCTCTTCCTCTTCACGGTTAGCCTTCTCCACTAGCCAGGGGAGTCTGATCAGATCAATGAGCCACCCAAAACCAAGCAGACCCAGGGAGAACAGGTACATCCATCCAAAAAAGTTCCTGGAAAGGAGGCAACAAATGAAATTTTGATGACTGAGAAAATACATACACAGTTGATGGGTCATATTGCTTCAAAAAGTGTGGACTTAAGAAGACATATTTGAACATTTGTCTGTCAACAAAAGTAGCTTCAAGTAAATACAATGTCCTTGGAACAGCATCAAATTTGGGGTTTATCATGTCAAAAAAATTTAGTCTGAAAATGTGTAAACCTTTGGGACATTATAAAAAATTCAAACGAACATCTTGCCTATTAAAAATTGATTTGATATTTTTTTCCAACAAATTTAGAAGAAAAAATAAAGCTACCAACATTTCACAAAATACCTTTATCAATATAAATGAACAAGTAATTACTAAACAATGCTTTTAAATTTATGCTTTATTTATTTCAAGTTTATGGAATATTCTTGTTTTCATTTTTGATAAATCAATCATGGAGGTAGAATTTCGTTCCTCAGTTTTCTAAGGGGGAGGGCATAGCCCCCCCCCCCCCCCCCCATCCTGGCCAGTTCTTCTGCACAAAAAAAGTATATATTTTTCTTGATTAATCTCTCATTTCATGAGTTAATTTGTGTATACCTCTTCAAGTAGAAGTGATGAACTCCAAACAATCCAAACAAGACACAGTAGATGTAGGCTTCCAGAAGACTTTTTCGCTGGATGGCAATTCGTTGCAGGGTTGAAACTCCCTGTACATGAACCGGCTGGGGTGATGCAGGCCCAACCATCGCGCCGTGTGGGTAGCCACCGCTCGGCATTCCGTTAGAAACAGGCAGAGCTGGAGCCGCTGAGTTTTTCATAGCGGAGTTATTTATTTTCGATACGAATACGGTCTGGGTCTAGAGATGTGCAACTCCACTCTCGCAACACTGCAACAACACTATAAACTAGCTGTTGACATGGTTGATATATAAACTGCACGTCTTTTCCCTATCGCGTCGGGTTAGATATTAATTTGTAAGCAATGACAGCAGAATCACGAGAGAATACATCCAGGCACAATGTCAACAAACCGCTTACACACCGTCACGTGCATATGATAGCTTGGTGCCTTGTTACAGAATGTACAAGTACACATCATAATAAGCCTGGGTACCTGTGAATTTTATTTTTAACCGATGACATCATTTTTACGCCACTGGTCGCTGCAAAGAGCGCCCGCAGTGTTGTGAATGTGAAGAGCATGGAGGTACGACCATGCAGCGAAAATCAGCCGGGAAATTTGCTGAAACACTAAAGATTTTTTCCAGTGGGAGGGGGCGGAGGAAGGGGAGGGGCGCGCCCGGGCGGTCCGCCTTGGCCTTTGGGGCGTCAGACCCGAAAGCATGTAATTGAGATAGAATACGGTACGGGTACACTGGGGGGGGGGGGGGGGGGGACTTTTCAAGGCCCGGGAGGCCGGGGGAGGCGTTTTTTCGGCGCCCTCCCCCTCCAATCCGCCGGTGATGTCTTAGCTCTCAACTTCATTCACAGATGGTATAGTTTCTAAACTTTTATGGCAAAAACGTGGCGCATCCCTTAATGTAGGCATGTAGGCCTATACTGGCCTTATTTTTCTTCTAAGCAAGCGCAGCCTATGCAATTACCCACAAATTCAACAACGAACTTGTACAAACTGTTGGAAAATTTTGTTTTGACAAAAAAAAAATCGTTTTCTTTCATTTCATAAAAAGGTATTTACACAAGATACATTGCGATGCTAAAAAGGGGCTAGACCAGCAGCGAAAAAAATGAACATCATTTTCACTGGGCCCCAAACGTACTCACGGCACCGTATCCTGGCACCACACTTGCCGGCCCATAGTACATAATACTTTAGATTCTATCTTTTGATTGATTGTGGGGCTGTTCCCAGCTACAGTGCTATACTGGGTCAACCCATGGTCAGGGAAGCAAGCTTCACCAAGACCCGGTTCCAAAAATCTCGTGAATAACATCGCAGCTGCGCTGTGGCACTGCCGTCAGATGTTAAGCTGACGAGAACAGATACTTTCACATGATCTTAGCCAGGAAGGCCGAGAAGCGATGCTCTGGAACGGTTCTGCTCGATCTTTTATAGAGAATTTGGGGTTACCTAAACGTTTCGTCAACGAAACAGACGCAGGTTAAACGTTTTTGCCTTGGCCTTGTCCCGACTTGGTGCGTGTGCATCCGTTTCCTGTACGTTTTATGTCTGTGACTCATTCAACGCTTAACTTACGTTATAGAATGGCTATAGTACGTACAGAACAGACCGTGGTTCAAACAAGGAACAGGAAAAATGTTCGACTGAATAAAAAAATCATCTGTACCAATTATTGAGCCGATTTAAAGCATGCATTCCCGATTTTGCCAGTTTTCTTCTACATGTTTAAAAAAAAACTCACTGAACGCAAAAGGCGCAGATAGGTCTTGCGTCGACATTTAATTGCTTTCAAACAGTCCGCAGGTCTACAGTGCTCAATTTAATCATAAAAAAGGTAATATTTTATAAAGAATATAATTATGATGACATGGAGGTAAAGTTTGGGGTATAGTGTACATTTTTTTCCATCAAGAGGGACATTATAATATAATATGCATTGTACATGTATTTGAAAGGCCGTTTCGAAGTACATGCATTGCATCATAGAGCTAGGACCTAGCTCTATGATTGCATCATTGCGTTCAGCCTCATCAGCGTGGTATCACTGACAATAGTGGTCAATCATCCATCAAAAGCAAAGTAGGCGATCGTCAACAATGAATGCAGTCAGTGGTGGTGGTACGTACTACGGAAGCTTGAATTGCCTTACGCGATACCGCGTTACCGTGATAATTTATCACAGAAATCCGGAATTCAAAGATAAATCCTTCCTCGATACTGCGTTACTGTGATAATTTATCGCAGAAATCCGGAATTCAAAGATAAATCCTTCCTCGATACCGCGTTACCGTGATAATTTATCACATAAATCCTGAATTCAGAGATACGTATTCCTCGATACCGCGTTACCGTGATAATTTATCACAGAAATCCTGAATTCAGAGATAATCCCTTCCTCGATACCGCGTTACCGTGATAATTTATCACAGAAATCCGGAATTCAAAGATAATTCCTTCCTCGTTACCGATTTGTCTTTGAATTCCGGATTTCTGCGATAAATTATCACAGTAACTCAGTATCGAGGATGGATTTATCTTTCAAATCCGGATTTCTGTGATAAATTATCACGGTAACGCGGTATCGCGGAAGGCAATTCAAGCTTCCGTAACGTACAGAGGTGTTGTGGCGTCAGCAGTGGGATGGGGCCGGCCGGGGAACGTTGACTCAACGTTTTTAAAATTGCGCTGCGTTTAGCAGACGTTTTGTCTCGTCTCCTATATAAAGAGGAGCAGAACTCATTATTGGGCATCGCTTCTCGGCCTCCTGGCTAATATCATGTGAAAGTATCTGTTCTCGTCAGCTTAACATCTGACGGCAGTTGCTACAGCGCAGCTGCGATGTTATTCACGAGATTTTTGTAACCGGGTCTTGGCGAAGCTTGCTTCCCTGACCATGGGTTGACCCAGTATAGCACTGTAGCTGGGAACAGCCCTCACAATCAATCCAAAGATAGAATCTGAAAATAACCGAAGAATTATATATATATTCTTTTCATAAAACAAAACCTAATGAACTTTTTAAATTTTCTTTTCAAAATAGGATGCATAAACTTGAGATAGAGTCCTATAAATTCTCTAAATGTGTTCTTTCAGCATCGTTCACATTCTGGCCAAGACAAAACTTAATATCTAAATGAATCCCTCCGAAAAAAAACGCTGTTCACCGGTCTTTAAAAAATCATCAATACAATTACCACTACATGATTGCAATCATCATTAAAAGACGACATAATGAAATAATAGTACATTTTCTTTTGAACAAATATCTTGATAGAGATATCTAATTACATCAATCTACACTTTGTATTTCAGACTAAAATACAAGCTATGAAGTTCTATGCCAGAATTATACAAAGATTATACAAAATATACTCCATAATGACAGCCTTAGTGAAAATGCACTCCTCTTTCCTCATATTTCATTCCGAAAATGAATATTATGAGCGAACACCCGGAAAAATAAGAAATTCAGAAACAGGACTCAAAGCGACCGTAAAGTAAATGCAGAAGTTAACTTATTTCACATAATTTTGGTGGGTTTTGTTTTGTTTAACCAAACTATTCTTAACATACACCGAGAATCTGATTCACAAAATTTACTCCTTATTCTCCAAGACATGATCATGATAAAGACCTGTAGATTAATCAATTTTTTGGTGCTTTCTTACAATCTAAAAAAAACCCCATGATTACATTCAACATGATTCTTTATCTATATCTTGCTAGAATGTGTTATAATTCCTATCCCTGAAAAATATTTTCTCTGAAATACTCTGTTCTTTAATTATAGCTATTATATCCAACAATCGAATCAAAACCATTCTAAACGTTGTGGCAGCCTGAGCAAGCCTTGAACTAACCCAAACACATTGCAACAAATATTGCAACTGTACATAACTGCTCCCACAATGTGAGCTTTGTTACTTGATCTTTGTTACCTGAATTTTTTAATTTTTTCTTAGAAGTTCCTCGCATGTCACAAAGTATTTGACCTCAATCATCCACCCGTGTCATGTCAAAGGTGTGATGACGCCCACAAACAAAACGTTTTAGAACCATGCTATGACGTCATACGAACAATCGTTGACTCAACGTTTTACCGTTGCGTGCTTGCAGTTACCGGACGTTTTGTCTCGTCTGTCCCTATATAAAGGGGAGCAGAACGCATTGTAGGACATCGCTTCTCGGCCTCCTGGCTAAGATCATGTGAGAGTATCTGTTCTCGTCAGCTTAACATCTGACGGTAGTTGCCACAGCGCAGCTGCGATGTTATTCACGAGATTTTTGTAACCGGGTCTTGGCGAAGCTTGCTTCCCTGACCATGGGTTGACCCAGTATAGCACTGTAGCTGGGAGCAGCCCCCCCCCCCCCCACAATCAATCCAAAGATAGAATTTTGTCACAATTTTATATTAGACATCAAGCTCAATGTATCCGAAGCGTGATGCAATGAGTTTCAAATGGGGACGTGGAGAGGAGGAGGAGGAGGAGGAGGGGGGGGGGGGGGGGGGGGGGCTCACTACCGGGTACTGACGCTCAGATTAAGTTTTGCTTGGGTCCACAATAATATCATCGTAGCATCTTTGTGTGCTTTTTCTGGGGGGTTGTCATTTCAGTCAGTTCGAGACAATTGATGTTAAAATCAAACGACATTATTCTCGGAGGGATATAAAAAAAAAATAAGTGCATACTGCTGTCAAAACATGTAACTACATGCAAGTCGGAAATCAATTTACAAAGTTTGTTGCATTAAAGGCACAAAAAACTTCATATTGCAATTACATGTATATTAGTAAAGTATTTGCAAAGTACATGTACTATTCACTCCAGCTCAACTTACTTCCCATCAAAATACACCACCATAAAAATGACAACAATGGAAAACAAAACAACTTCATTTTGATCGCTTTATTTTTTCCCAACCACAAACCATATTTCAAATCCTTTAACATGGGTAATTTCTACTGTAATTCGTTATACAGAATACATTCATTTGTTTTAAGGGATTCTTTTTACATGCTTTGACAAAAACAATTTGGCTTTATTTTTTGGGGGGGGGGGGGGGCTTTAGGCCTTGACAGTAAAAAGGTAAGGCGTGAGATTTTGCAAAAATATAAATCAAACAGTCACTTTAATAGAATTTATAGCTGACTTGGTTTGTGGTAGAAGAGTATTAACATTAGAACAAGCTACTACATGTACATACAGATTCCATTTCCTGGATTGTAACAAAATAATATACAAAACAATGAATGCAGCTCTGCCAGCCCAACTCTGATTATTTACAACATTTATTTACAGATTTCTCAATCAACTTGTAATTGTTCATTACGTAGTACATGTAACATACTTCTGAAGTTCGGCAATTTTCTTGTTTTTTTTTACACACAATCAGTGAGGTTCTCATTTTTGCTCAATACACGTATATATGCAAGATACTTATGAGATTGGGTATAAAGTTATTTTCTGTACACGAAATACGTTATAAGTTTGAACAATGCCATGCAGTGCTGTGCAGTTAACCTTAAAATGGTGGTGGGCCCCTTTTTGGTTTGGGTAAACCCTTGGTGTATTTACCGAAACCAAACAGATCTCTTCGACTGTGTTTCCTTCGTATTACAACAAGCAAATATTCATGTAGTTTCTAAAATTCAGTTTTAGCACTGAAAGTATTGTTTAGATCCATAAGTGCATTTTCAGTCCATTTTGGGTCCGTTGCATAGTTGGGCCTGTATGAAACAAAAGGTCTCACTATGCAACAGACACAAATGACTGAAAACAAACTTATGAAAAAGTTGGCTGCAGAATTTAAATCATACATTCCAGTAAAATGTGCACACAATACACAAAAGCACTGTACATAACCATGTACCCTAATACATAAACTAAAAGCAGCGAATAAATGTATTGAAATGAAGGGGAAAAAAATGCATCCTTTCAGAACTTTCTACAATACATGTACTGTGTTTTGTGCGGTAAACTCAGCTAAAACAAAATCTGCTTCAATATTTACATTTTTCTGTACAAAATTAGTTTCTCAATATACATGTAACAAGAATTCATGCTATATTTTGTGCATCCACTAAAAAAGGTCCAATAATTAATCACAACTTAAACAAATGTTAGCAAAACATTACTTATTTGTGATCAAACATTGTATCAAAAAAAAAAAACCCATTTAACAAATGTCTCCAAGTCTTAAAACCCCAAAATTAGCGACCATGGACGAGAGTGAATTGCTCGAGCTTAACTTATAAATATTCAATTATTTATGCATCAACCGTGCAACTCCACTCCCATCCATATCGGAATTTTGTGGCATTCATGCACCATGTCAATAACAAATAATCTGACAGTGCTTATATGCATGAATATATATTTACTCCCAAATCTAACTCTTAACTATAAAATGCTACCTTTCTATTTGTTTCCACAAAACATACCTTTTTACAAAGTGTACCTTTCCATAAAGTTGAATTCACAATCCGAGCAATCTGATTTGTACTGGTTAACTGGGTTTAATCTCCAACATTCTAAGCTTTTCAATGAAATTGGGCAATGGTCTTCATCAACTGGACTATTAAAGGTACAGGGATAGTGTACACCAGTTACAGAACTTAGCTCGAGTTGGGATATAACCCAGTTGGGAGAAACCATGAAACCAGATTACTTCTGAGACAGGGAAACCACTAAGCACTTTCGCGCCTCTTCAGCAATAACGGTTAGCTCGTCAATGCGCACCCGCAAGCGCGCGTTCTCGGCCTCAAGCTCCTTCGCCTTGACAACCATTTCCCCCTCGCGCTGTTTGCGGGTGGCACGGGAGCGCTGCGACGCGATGTTGTTCTTGTCGCGGCGCTGACGATACTTTTGCTTAGCTGATTTTGCGCTGGCATTGTGGCGGGATGTGCGAGCCTTCTTGGTGGGCGGGGCCTCGTCATCATCATCATCATCGTCGCTGCTTGGGGCGGGGCGACGGGGGCTGCACTCCTCTTCCTTGCATGCTGTCTCAGAGCCAACGGGTGTTGGCAGGGTGGTCGTAGCCATTGCAGATGGTTCTGCGTCGGTCATTAAAGGGTCGTTGCTTCCTGCGATGGAAGTAGCCAAATCATTGAGATCAGTGGGACCAGTCTCCTCCTAAAAAATCATAAAAGAAACAAGAAACAAACATTAGTATTAAATAATGCAACAACAAAAAAATTCATCTGAAGACAATAAAATCAAAATGTGACAATAAAATCAAATTCCTTCAATCCATACCATTGCATTTGTACTTCCAGTGGATTCCCATATATGTATTCCCAATGTTATTCGGTTTAGAATAGCAACAGCCATTTTTCCTATGAGAGATTCTGTAATTCAAACTCATTGCAAGATGCGATTCAACCATACAGACTCAAATGATGAGAGCTGTTTAATTCTGCATTGTGTTGCACACCACTGGGTATCCTCTGTTTATAAACAAGCTATATAGCTAAATTCTCCATAAAAAAAATTGCAAAGTGTTGTGCAATATCTAGGAACTAAACTAGTTTCTGCAACCCTTTCATTCTTGGGAGCCTGCAATAGCCAGTGCATGTGTAAACATGCCCGACTCTCACTGCACACTGAAGGTCGACATATTGCCACTGGTTGTGCAATGCCACTGAGGACATGAATATTTATCACTTGAATGTAACCTTTGACCCTATTCAGTACTGAACACAATGCCCTGCTTTCAACCATACATCTATCGTACAATATATAATGGTTAATAGAATAGTACTTTTTACATACATCAGTGCTACATGTAATGAATTTCTATTACTTGTGATTGCATCAGCCTGTACTCATGAATTATTCATGACTCACAGACACAGCATGCACTTCAAACCAGTATGAAGATAACTGTCATTCATTCACAATCAGATCACTGACAGGTTTCCAGGGGCCTAATGAACATTATTAATTATTTAACCTCCCACTTAAAAATAAACAAATTTTATACAGTTTGCCCCTGTGCCCATTTTAGTGAGGATTTAGCAATTTGCTACAAAAAATGGCATGTGTGATGTGTCCTACCTTCATGTGAAATGTGTACAATAAACCTATTTTATTTCATGCACTGCACCAAAGCCATTTAGAGAAGTATTATTACCCTGGCGGGCATTTGAAATTTGAAAAAGTCAAGATGTAACGACAAATTTCTGTTTCCAGTTCATACATGACGCTGTACAGGAAAATGTACTTGAATATAGGATTATTTTTTGATAAAATACAGTTTTCTCACCGTCAATTGCTGAAGGAACCCGGTCAGATCCGTAAATGTGTTGAAGAAATGATCCACAGAGGCGTCGCTCTCAGCTGGGCTGATCTCGCCGCCATCGCTGACGGACGAGATGACATCCCGTGGCTTGAAAGGTTCCCCGACTCCCCCCATGGGATCCAGGGGGAGGTCCTGGAATGAGCCCGGCAGGTTCTCCTCAAGGACCCCCATCAGATCGGGGAAGAGCATTAGGTCTGTGAATCCCTCCACATCGACGGTAGGAGGCTGGTCCGACTCTGTCTCAATGGGGTAGGCTGCTAGCACATCGCAGAAAGACAGGTCGGGATCACCTAGTATTAGGAATCACAAAACCAGAATTTAATTTTTGGACATTTATAGCTGTTTCAGGACTTGTATTTTAAACAAAGACGAATCGTGATTTACATTTTCTTTAGAAAAACTGAATTTGAATTGTTCAATCACGTTGTAAAGAAATTGGTCGATTTTATTCAACACTGGAATGAGATAAGATTATAAGGCCTGCCAACTGCAACTTAGTTCCAGACAGGAATGTGCAACCGAAATTTATTAGACACATTTTTTGTTTGATTTGAAAACTCACCATGGTTAAAAAGGCTGCTCATTGGCATCGATGCCCGTTGAGCAGTACCGGGGGCCTGGTGCCCGAAGATCACACTGGTGTCCTTCGAGAGTCCTGTCGAAATGATCTCGACAGGGTTTACAACCGGCCCCCGGCTCCCTACTGTCTCCTCTTCCTCTATACCTCGGCAAGCCATATTGGCAGCTGATGGGTATTTGTACGATAGATTTTGCTTCCATTTTGTGTTTTGAAAATCACAAATGGTCTCGGGAGAATCCACGGTAAATTGGGTTTAGCCCCTTGTAGTCAACCACGGAGGGTGTTTCTGCACCCTGGAACAAAATAGAACATATAATGGCAAAATGAACAAAGTGACCATTTAGCTTTGATTCTCTTTATTTTTTTTGTATTATAATAAAAATGATAAATATTAAATATATAATTATCAGTTTTTACTTTAAATATCTATCACCAAGCCAATATGACCGTTTAACATACAGAAGTTCCCAACGAATTCCTAGCCTAGCCTAGCTGAGTGCCAGACACTTTTTTCTAAGGAGTATTCTTACACAATACATGGCATTTATTGGCAAGTAACATGCACTAACTTTAAGTTAAACTTCTACCTGCAAGAAACAATGCACAAACCTTTCCTCAATTCAGATGCCCCCCCCCCCCCCCTCCGGCCGGCCCTAGCGCTATATAGCACATCATGAAAACACACCATCATCAATCACGACCGTGCAATAATTATTCTCAAATTCTCAAAGTGAGTCTTGATGAGAATTTTATTTATTGTTTATTTAATTTTAACAAATTTTGTTTGACTTTTGAGTACTAATAAGTTGAGTGTCTGCTTTACGGGTTTCGACTTTCCAATCTAAGTTTTTATAATTCCAATAACCAAGCATGATAACTGAGGTTTAAGTACCTGAAAAGCCTTTCCAGTCGCTTGTACCGTCGCTCTGGACGGTAAAATCGCCCTTCTCGTTGATGGAGAGGTTCTCCAGCCCTTTTCCTGGGGAGGTGCTTTCTTTCGCCTTTTCGCCAACAGATCTTCAACCGATGTGAAAAAATTTCACCGGGGATTGCAATATATTGCGAAATCCACGGACCTTTTTTGCGCATGTTCATTACCATGATCGAAAAATAGACATGATGTCATGCTTTATTCCACCAATTAACGCTGCCCGTTACTTTTTTTAGTAACGTGAAGACGTCATTGCTAGCCAATGAAAGGGCTCGAATCGCAGAATCAGCCGCGGTTTTCGTGTTGTTTACACTTCACTGGTTTGCGTAGTCTAGTCGACCTTCGTCTTTTATTATGTTTACCGCTACCTCACAACCCCAACAAAGCCCGCCGAAACAAGTTATTTATAGATTAGTTACTTCGATTGCTATCTTAAAAAGAGCAAGATAAGCGAATTTAGGTGTAAACAACTTGAATACACGTTTATTAAATATTTTGATTTTTTCCCCCATAATTTTCAAGTAGAATGACGTCCTTAAATTGCCGTCATAATAGCTCTAAGATTTTAGCCAAATCGTCACGGTATAGGCTAATATTATTATTGGACCATACATTATTATTATTTTTTATTATTCATGGTTTAATTAATTGAAAATGACACATTGCAGCCAAAAGGCTGAATAAGTTAACGGTCATTTTTAGTTATAAATCATTAAAGTTAAAACAAAATCAACAATATCATAAAAGCCAAAATCAGACTTACAAATAAAATGTACATAAAAACACCAGAAAATGTACTTTAAGAATAAAAGGAAATGTGTACTAAGGAAATGTGTGTGTGTGTGTGTGTGTGTGGGGGGGGGGGGGGGGGAATGTTCACTAGAGATATAGATGAGGTTGGCGGGCCAGGCCTGGAGAAAGCCTTAGGGTGGGGTAACTTCGAGTAAGAGAGATGGTATATACTGTTCCTTGTTTTATGGTATATAAATATTGAAGTGGATACGAAATTCGGTTAAAATAACAAAAACACATTCAGTAAAATCTTGAATAATATTTAAAACATAAAATTACACCAACAGGTAGAAGGTATTTACTTTAAAATTCTTGTGAGTGAGCGGATTGCTGAATTATGGAGCTTTAGCTCCATGATTGGGCGATCATTATACAATTACGGATGATTTTAATTAGAGATTGTGTTCTATTTCTTTGCTTCACACACTTTGTCCAATGTCGAACCTGTATGAGAATTAAATTACTGTAAAATCTGTAAAAATCCAAGCTATGAAGAAGGTATCCAACCTGCCATGCCCGCGCCCGCACTATCACACCCGCGCGGAATAAAGTACGCGCATGGCGCACTAGTTGCGCATGCGGATTGAACGTTGACCCCGTTCAGTCAATGTGCCGGCCATTTTGAACGAACTCCCGAATCCAAGATAGGCCGTTCTCACGAAATCGGCCCAATTTCACTTATTGCTCGTCATATAAAAAGTGCCATTTGAGGGTGAATAGTTGGTGGCCCCAGCAAAATGAGTTTGTCATTGAGGTAAGATCTTGGATGCTTGAAATTCTCGTTTACCATTCCATGTTTACGCGAGTAGGCCTACAGTCTGACAGTCTGTACGGTTGGTTAATTTGTCATCACAATGCAATGTGAGCATGGTGCCGGTGAGTGACACTGAGACACAAACAATCATTACATTCATCATGCAGTTCATGCACAAACCTACATGACCTATCCTATGGCCTGGGATACAGGAATCAGTCAAGCTTGAAAGCAGGAAAGAATGTAGCCCCATAAATGTGGCCTATTTACTGGACTGCCTCCGTAAACATAGGCCACACATCCACATGTACAAAAATCGTGTCGACGGAGCCAAATTGTGATTTTCACATTTAGGCTTAGTTTGTAGGTTTTTTTTGCTTTAGAAGCATACTCACCCTCTTTACAGGCTAATCAGAAAGTGCTGCCTTTTTCAGATGTCTAATTTTTGTGAAATTTCATGTTGAAGTTTTGATACGCAAACGTGTAAAAATGAATCTGGAAATTTCACGAAAAATATACATCTGAAAAAGGCAGCACTTTCTGATTAGCCTATAAAGAGGGTGAGTATGCTTCTAAAGCAAAAAACCCTACAAACTAAGCCTAAATGTGAAAATCAAAATTTGGCTCCGTCGACACGATTTTTGTACATGTGGATGTGTGGCCTATGTTTACGGAGGCAGTCCAGTAAATAGGCCACATTTATGGGGCTAGAAAGAATGTTGCAACCCAATGCTGCTTTTTTCTTCATTCATATATCATCATGAAGGTCAGTCACTGCAAAATTGATGATAACAAGACATGAGAATCTGGGACTGAGAAACATTTCCAATTTTGTTAGAAAACTTTGAAAATTTTCTTGACTCTCCTGTCTCTCCATTGACTTTGTACACAACCGCTGAAGTAGTGTCAGGTTGCAACATTCTTTCCTGAAAGCATTGTTTCTTCATTATGTTTCCAAGATTAAGTGATCATTGATTTAGGCGGTAGGGCCCTAGGGGCCTACTTTTAATTTGCATAGAATTTACGAAATAAGCCTAATTTGTATTATTACCCTCCTATTTACAAAATGATTTACTATCAGAACTGTAAGGTATTTTCAAACCTTACAGAAAGACCAATTGATTTGAAGTTGCTGTAGCCGAAAATTCTCAATTTTTTCCGACCTCCAAACTCTCCTGCTGCGAAATGTTCGGCCTCAATATTACATGTGGATTTGTACCTCTAGCATGTCTAGGGTGGGTTGAAATCCCTCAAATGTCAACAAAAAAGTGAAATTTACCAGAATTTTGTTCACAAGGATCATTGGAGTCTCGCACTCGGCCGTCTCTCATTGTTTGCCGTTGACTGAGGGCGCTTTTATTCTCTTCACCAACTACAGCACGGCTTTCATTCCGAGAGTGTCTCCGGACCTCGCGCGATGAAATGAGAGCCGCGCCGTAGTTAGTCCATGTTCTTATTCCTCCATGGTTAGTCAAGAGACGGGAGAGTTTGGAGGTCGGAAAAAATTGAGAATTTTCTGCTACAGCAACTTCAATTGGTCTTTCTGTAAGGTTTGTAAAAAACCTTACAGTTCTGGAACTACCTCCTATTTAAAGGGAATATACAACATTTGCAAGCATCGAAAAATAAAACTACCAAGTTTTTACGAAATACCTAACTAGGATGTTGGTAAATGACAGTCTCAAGCATCTTGTAAAATTATGGCACCTGGTGTGAAGTCATTTTCAAGAAAATGGTATTTTTGTAAACATTTCCAACGGTGGTCGGCCGACCAGCGTTGGAAAAACCTAACTATTTTTCAACTACTGCAAGTTTACCATTTTTTTTCAGTCCAAATTTTGTTTGCTATTGGTTACATGTTCATGAACGGGTGCAGGCCAGCTAGACTGGTTCCCTTGCCTTACAATTTTCCATCATCTATAAATTGATCCATTTTATCTTTTGTGGAGTCAGGGAACCAGACTACTTGAACATTTTTGTTTTTCTTGGTTTTCCAACCTTTTCGAACACAAAACTTCAAAAATGTCAGTGTAACAATATTTGATCTATTATACTAACCCCTCAAATAGTTCATTTCTGAAAATTACAGCAAAAGCCAATGATGTACATTCCCTTTAAGACTAAGACTACGTAAGAAGTAAGAGGTCACCAATGGTCAAAATGTTTGTGTCTCACCTCCTGGCATTCTGTGTACAAACCAATGGGGGTCTTGACCAATATTGACCCAAGTAATACTAGGCTGACAATGCATGTTTCCGTAGGAGGGTTAATAAATACACTTCCCAAACTTTTAGAAATAAAGGCAAGAATGTTGCATCCTGACGGTCTTGACTCTCCATAGATTTTCATTTTGTGCACAACCGCGTGGCTGTGTACAAAATTTACATTGTGTATTCCTAACAAAATTGGAATGGAAATGTTTCTCAGTCCCATATTCATGTCTTATCATGATTTTGCAGTGACCATGATGACTGACCTTCATTGACATGATATATGAAGAAAAAAGTGGCGTCAGGTTGCAACATTCTTTCCGAAATAAAAATATGAAATGGGTCTTTCAGGATACCAGTCAAAAGGGCCAGTAGAACAGTCGTCATTGAATTTCAAATTTTTGAAATGCAAGCGATGAACCTGATCGTAATTATCAACTAATTTTAAAAATATTTTAGTAAGGCCAAAAAAAATAATAAGTCGGTCTCTGGTCAGCGCGCGCGTCGATTTTAATCATGCGCGTCGATCTTTTTTTTTTCCAAAATGTTCCGCGGTAGCTCCAACAGCACCCTCTATTTCCGCACCTCAAATTTTTTTACCAAAAAGCACCAAGGAATGGGAAATTGCACCAAGGCAAATGATCGAAAGCACCAAGGCAAATTATGGAGGACACCAATGTACATGAGGACACCAAAAAAGCAAAATAGTACCCACCTTGTCTGTACAATCCAAGCTTGAAGAAAAGAAAAAAAAAAAAAAAAAAAAAAAAAAAGCCGCGTGGCCGCGTCAATTCCGGAACTTTGGTCTGACCAGAGACTGAATATTTTTTTGGGGGGGCCTAAGCATGGCAGGTGAATAAAACCGTGGAGGAAGGAATAGAACCTACCCGGAAATATCCGGGCGCTCTCCGAGATTGCTGACGAAATGCATTCGGCAAACTTCCAACATTTTTGGAAACGGGAGGCATTCCTCCCATTTTAACCACGTGCTGTGGCAGTTACCTGACCTAAGATTCATCAGGAAAAGTCAGAATCTTTCAGTCTGGGAGCCAGACTATGCTTGTCGGTCACTTCACTGCATTTATATATACTAGTTCTAGAGGGTTAAAGTGTTGATTGTGCTCATCAATTGTGTTAATATAACCACAAAAAGCAAAGGCTTGTTAATTTTTAACTCAGACCACCTGACAACAATTAAAACCTTTCAACTGATGTACAGTGTACACAATTCAGATGCTGTTGTATTGCCAACCATAAAGTGGTTCTCTTAAAGGTCGATTACTGGGTAATTTATTGCGTACGTTGGTCTTGAACTGTCTTTGAAAAATATAATAATCTCAGAAGTTTACAAGTGCAGTGCACATGAGTTGATGTGGCAAAGCAAATTTGTTTTCTAATTTGGTGATGTATTATTATAAAGGAAACACAGAGGGAAATGGATGGTGATATAGCAGGCTATCACAGATCCGTGCACAAGTCAAACAAACTTCTGCATCCCTAACACTGTGCCTAAGTGGGTTTTTTGTAGTCCAGGTGTTAGATTGTTTGAAATAATCACTCATATCAGTGGTGGAGACGAGGCTTGACTGAGCTAGCGCAACTCGGGTGTATGCCTTTCACCTTCGTGTGTCAATTTTCATTTGGTTGTGCCATAGTCGCAGTGATTAATGCAGACCAGTCCTCTCACGTATGTATGCTTTTTTTTGGGTCGGCTCTTATTTTCATGAAAAGTGAGTAAAATTGATTCAAACTGCTTACTGGCTGATGTGACCACTGTAGAAATTTCAATTCTGGCAGCTCTTCCTCAAACAAATTGTGATCATCACTTCATCAACTTACAAGCATTGACAAAATTGAATTTTGGCAGTATAAGTGACCGCTGTTTGATCTTGTTCGATATAAGAGATGATGCCTAAGTTATTTGCTGTCTCTTGTAAATTGAATGTCATAACTGATACTTTTCTAATTAATACATTAGAAGTAGACCAATAAAATCAAAAGTTAGGAGAAATGAAGTGGAAATAGAACTCTCTTAAAATTGTTCAAATAAAGAACACAAAATGGAATATATTAGCCATCAATTCAATTTCAGCAGTCTATTGACAAATGGATCATCTAAAAACTTTGTTCATAAACCAGTTCGCTCTGGAGGCTGTGTACAAGGAAAAGTTTTGTGGTATTCGGAACGGATGATAAACACGCAGGGAGTGAGGCTGGAAATATCTGTCTCGCAGCGAGCGAGGCCGGAAATATGAGTGTGCTGCCCGAGGGTGATGGCTTCAACCCGCCTGGCTTGAGGTCGAGTGAAAATAAATCCCACACCTCGTTCCGTTCTTGTCAAAATAATCCTGGTGTGAACTGGTTAAAAAGTACTAATTATGTAAATCAATTCAGCCTGATTGCAGAAATCAATGAACTTTAGATTTAAGTGCATTCTTTGTGAAATAAGAAAAATTCATGTACATGAAAAAAGATTAGCAAATGGATTTTGCATGAGAATGATACAACTTGTACCGTTAAAAAGGAAGCAAATGCCCAAGTATCATGCGTATACATGTAGCTGATATAAACGTTCCTTTTGTAATCTCTACTTTTAAAAAATAAATGTCAAGTACTTTGGACAACAGAGGAGCGTTATTTGCCAACTGAACAGGTGGATGAACCGTCGAACGGTCAAAGTCTGTCTTTCACAGTGTCAATTGCATTAACTACAAATAAACAGCCCAAAACCAATAGCATACTAGACAAACGGCTTACCGTTATAATGATGGCGCAAGGTTATAATTCTATGCATGATTTCAAAAAAATTAACAAAGATCAAATAAAAAATAAAAATAAAAAAAACTGACTACATGAAGTAAAAAACAAAATGACTGTGCCCTACCAACTGAGCTATTCAACCCTGTGTTAGGCTTTTTTTAGGGGTTGAAAATCGGCACGGTAACCATGCTATAGTCAATTTGCTTGTTCAGCGTTTTTATGAATAAAGGATGATGCATTGTGGCTGTTAAAAAAAACACACAAAGGAGATCAGTATGTTTAAAAAGTGCTGCGTGGTTGAAAAAACTGGGCCATTATATTGCTTATCACTTAAATAGAAGATACAACATTTGCGAACATCAAAAAACGAAATGACGAAATTATCATGAAATACCTTACTGGATTGTTAGGCAATGACAGTCTAAAGCAGCCTGTAAAATCGTGGCTTCTGGTGTGCCGACATTTTCAAGAAACACTGTATTTTTCTAACGCTGGTCAGCCAACCAGCGTTGGAAAAAAACTAGCTTATTTTCAAAAAGTGCTCCTAATTTTTCATATTTAGTTATTCCGGATTTTGTAATTGATAACACAAATGTGAAGGGGTACAAGCCTGCCAGACTGATTCTCTGACCATACAATTCCCAAAGTCTACAAATTGTTCCATTTCATCGTAAGTGGGGTCAAGGGTACCAGACTACAAGAACATGATTGGTTTTGGGTTTTTTTCCCAGCATCTACAAGCCCAAAACGTGAACAAGTCAGTGTAACAATATTTGCTATGATCCTCCAAATCCATTTATTTCTGAAAATTGCAGCAGTAGCAAATGTTGTACATTCCCTTTAACAAATCTAGGAGATGTGCCTAGGAAAATAATAGGAAAATGCCATGGTACCCGCAACTTCTTATGAGGCTTTATCTATAGATAGCTACAAAATGAATAAATGTACAAAAATAGTGCATCTATTCTAAAAACCTCTTCATATTTTGTGTTTATCATAAGCTGATACCAAAGTCTGCCTGTTTGTGTGCTAAAACGACTACTTGTACCAAAAACTGTTTTTGTTATCACCAACTGACGTCATACATGCACTTGTGCTTTGCTTTCAGTTTGTCTAGTTGACCTCGTAAAGATTCAGTTTATGAGGAGGTTAACATTAATCAAAAGCTTCAAGACCTTGTGTATGATATCAGTTAATGATAAAATCTCACAAGAAAGAAAATATTTTGCAATGGCCTGATATTTTTTATGACTTAAATAATGACTTTAATATGAATTTACAATGGTTGGCAGTACAATTTCAATTCACAATAAAGCCAATTTCAATCACGTGCATCTTAACTTTTTTTAAACCTGCTGTTATTTAAAAAAAAAAATTATTTTGTGATATTCTGTATGACATGAAAAATGAAAATACATGTACATGTATGTAACTGAAGATGTTCCTTTTGAAAGAAAATAAAAAGTGTGATTTCACCTTAAAACAAGAAAATGTCTGTGAAAGTCTGCAGACTTAATTGTTAATTACGGTTAAAATGTTTTTGCTATAGATCTGAATTCGGCATGGACAAGGGTCGACGCAAGAAGCGACGAGAACTGACCGAGGAGCAGAAACAAGAAATCAAGGAGGCCTTTGACCTGTTCGACACGGACAAGGACAGAGCCATTGATTACCATGAACTGAAGGTATTGGATGGGGGCACAAGGAGGGGTGGGGGATGCGGTGGGGTGAAGGGGTCGAAGGGGTGGGGGTGGTGGTTGTGAGGGGGGGGGGGGGGAGAGGTTAATCAACTAATGCATCATTAGATGGCTACCATTTTGTGTCTTCCCTTCAGCATATTCATTTGCTTTTGTGTGATGTGGAGGGAGCTCGGAGGGGGGATTGGTGGGGGGGGGGGGGGGGGGGGGAGGGATTGATCTTTTTTTGGGGGGGGGGATTTGACACATGAACCAGTGTGCTCATGTCTGTGTTGCCCCCAGTGGAGCTCTGGTGAGTGGTGGTGAAGCGCCCTCTAGTCATGCACTGGGTCCATTAGCAATCTTTTTGTATCATGCCATTCATGTCATTTGTTTGTGGTATTTTACATTCTTACAGGTAGCGATGAGAGCCCTCGGGTTTGACGTGAAGAAGGCCGACGTGTTGAAGGTGCTTCGTGATTACGACAAGGACAACAGCGGCAAGATATTCTTTGATGACTTCAATGAAGTCAGTGAGTATTAGGGAAAGTTACACCTCCTACATATTTATGAGCCAAACGCGCTTATTTCATTGGTCAATGTTCCAACCACTGAGCTGTATTTTCCTGACTGGAAAGCAAACAGAGTATTGCACAATGAGTTCATTTGAAGCCATACTCAGGAGACAGCGTCAGTGTTCTAAAAAGGACAACTTGCCAACAAAGATCTGTTCTTGGACGTCGTCGTAGTTCACGTTTTGAGCTTGCAGTCCACTTTATGCAGCAGAAACGTGTCCTTTTTAGGACATAATGTACCTGAACAAACAGCTGCCAAATCTTGATACAGCACACTCTGTATGAGATTTGATATACTTTTCTATAGGTATATTGGTTTCCATATTTGGAAAAACAGGGTGAACTGGCCAAAAAGCGACAATTTATTGTACGGCATAATGGGCATAGACTATACAGTCAGTATATGGATATCAGTTGTTCCAACGAGTAGTATTAGGGAAACAAAATATGTGGTTCTCTAAAGACCAGCTATTTGAAAATGAGCAGTGATGACTGTTTGTGCATCACACACTCACAGTTGTTAAACATGGTGGTTGTGTGGTATTACCGTGTTGGCTGTAATTTGAATGTTTGCCTGTCCACTAACTCCTGACAGTGACAGACTGGATGCTGGACAGAGACCCCCACGAGGAGATCTTGAAGGCCTTCCGCCTGTTTGACGACGATGACTCAGGCAAGATCAGCCTGCGCAACCTGAGGCGGGTGGCTAGGGAGCTCGGGGAGAACATGACGGAGGAGGAGCTACGCGCCATGATTGACGAGTTTGACAAAGACGGAGACGGTGAAAGTAAGCACTGGTTTGTCCTTAGAGAGGTCAAGTTACCAGTCTTCCCAAGGAAGTGTATGCCTAGGACCTGTGTTGTGCCATGGATACATCAGTGAACACCACAAAAATATGCGTTGGTAACACACACACTCATGTACAACTGCGAATGAGTTTAGCACATTCGCCATAACCAAAAGAGAGGAAGAAGCTGTTTTTTTTTCTTTTGCGACGATATTGGTAAAAAGCCTGGCACTAGTGGACACTCAAAGATTGAGGGCGTATTTAGCAGTCATTGCATAGACTATGTTAGCCGGTGATCACTTGGTGAAGTGCTATGGAATTAACCAGTCAATGATGTAAACACGATCTAGCAATATTCCTGGGGGCGGGTGACGGGTAAAATTGTCAAGCTTTAGTCTAGTCTCCGGTGGTGAACGTGTATACACGTCAGTGGTGCCCATTGTTTTTGTACACACTGTGTATTGAACTTGAACTTGGCCGCTGCAAACAGCCTGGTGTTACAGCTAATATCACTCCATGGCAGGGCCTCGGACTGTTGCAAAATACGAAGTTACGGTGAAAAGTATCGTAAAAATAGTGGACAAATGACACTGTACTTCCTTTGTTCACCTTATGTGGAATGCTAAAATCTCATATTTTGCCTAGTGAACAGCAAGTAGGCAGTTAAAACGCGTGTTGGCAACATATATTTTTATGACATTCATGTGCATATCCTTGATGTAATGCGTGTCCTAGCCGTACACATTTTTGCAAAAGACACGCAACTTTAATTATCATGTGCTTGGTCTGCATTGTGCTGAGTTACGGACAAAACTGTTTGCTGAAGGAGTATGGAGTATATGAAAGAAATTTAGCTTTAAAGGAATTAAGCTTGTTGTGAGAAGCAGCACGATAATCATGTGTATGCCTCCATTTCTGCAAATTTTGGTCGTCTTTTTTTTTGGTGGTGGCATTTTCAGGCTCTTTTTACACAAGCTTTTTTGCATGGGAGCCCTGAAGGAACCTCCCTTTTAATTCATACGCATGTAGCCCAATATCTCTCATTCCAATCCTTTTTTTTTTTTACAGTTAATGAGGAAGAGTTTGTCGCCATCATGACAGGAGATACATGAAGAGCGCACTTCCCTTCAAATTTACATAACGCCTGGTCTGGACCAAAAATCATTTGTACATTTCTTGTTATTCAACCGTGCCAACTTCACTTTCATGTGTGTCTTCCAGAGTGACATTTCTGTCAGTGTTAAGGCCCAATGCAGTAATTGGATCTCTGCAGGACTGCTGTGGTCATGTTAAACCTTGGAATCTCACGTGTTGTAGTTGTAGTATTCGTACTCGGTACTCGTAATCCAGTACTTTTTGAGAATACTTGTACTCATGCTCGTACTCGAATATAAAAATACTGAAATTCAAGGTACTTATAATCGAGAAACAAAGAAAACTACAGTATTTATGAAACATGTCTAGGCAAGCTGGTTCCAGATTGCACACAATTCTGTCCAATTGATTCAGAATGACTATTTACTGCAAGTCTTTTCATGCATCTGGGCTACACAAGGGGCAGGATTTAGCTCATTCATTAACGTGACGGGATAATCTTATACTGTCCAACCAACCAAAGAAACAACTTGTGAAATTTTAAAGAGCAAGTGCTTTTCAACTACATGCACATTGCAGCAACTCCAAGATGGACAAATTTTAGAAGGGAACAAAAACACCCGAAGACTGTCAAGTGCCTCTAGTTTTTTTTTTTAATTGATGTACATGTATTCATGCAACTGGGAATTTACAAAAAAACAAGGACATTCCAAAACCACACAAGATTTTGTACAGTATTTTTCAATTTGTAATGGCATTCGTAAGAAGTAAAAAACGAGGAAATCAGCTGATCAAAGGAAAAGTTGCATGCCTGTGTATTGCTGTCGAGCACTTGTTGAAATTTTGATACGCAAGCTGAATATACATGTAGATTACAAATTCACACACTTCCCCGCCAATATTCCTTCCTGAGGTGTTTACAAGGATGAATATTATTTTAGTTTTTTTATACTAAAACTTTGTAGAATAAAAGTATTTGTATATACTTAAATTGGATTTCGCATTCTTTACATTTTGTGCTTTGTCCTTCATTTGTATAAATATTCTGTTTGCTGTATGCTAGAGCTGGCCCAACTATCATAAGGGAATAAATGTGTGCTCCGGAGGTTTTTATCACTCTGTTTATGACCGCTTAGAGTCTTGGTGCTGATAATTACCAAGCCGGAGGCGAGGGTAATTATCAGCACCCAGACTCTAAGCGGTCATAAACAGAGTGATAAATACCGACCGAGCACATATTTATTCCCATTCATGAATACCTTTTCGGAAAACAAAATCAAATAATTCGTTAAAAAAATCCCGATTCTGTTCAACAAGTTCACTTCATGCTTTTTGAAACATCCCTTTAGCAAAATAATGGAGTGTTCAGCTGGCGAGTAAGATGTAAACAACCCTTTTATGGAGACTGACGTGCGCGTAGCATGTTCTGCGCGATGACGCGCAGAACTCACCTGGGGCGTTGCGTTTTGAATTTAGAACTTTAAAATTCTGACTCGCTGGTAGTGTTGCGCATGCCTACGTGAGGATTGTGAACGTTCAACCAATAAAACGGTAAGAGGCACTGGAATTTTAGGAGTCCACATTTTATGTGACACTGGAAAAGTGTTTAAGACCAGCCAGCCATGTCTTTATCATCCGTTTAAGACCGGCCACGTGACGGGCTCTCGACCAATAGGAATGGCTAAACTGTCTGAGGTATTTATAATCGTTCACAGCGTTCACGTTCCAATTTGATCCTTTTCCCCAATGTATGTATTTTATTACATCTCAAATCGTTGGAAGAAAAAATTGACTGGATAATGACCTGCCTATAATCCACCAATTCCAAGATCAAAAATGCCACATCAGAATGATTCAATTCTTGATTCATTTACTCTTTCTAATTACCTCCAACATGCAAAGCCTTCATCATTGTAGCTTTCAATAACTATTAAAAATACAAAATTGATCCTGTACAAATTACATGTGCACGTTTAAGTACAAGTTTGTGAAATACTCTAAAATCATGCATATCAGACAGGAGTTGCTATCCATAGATAACAGACAATCATTTCTCTTTGGAACTTGTGCATATTAAACTGGATACTATATTAAATTAAAGTGGGCAATTCCAGTGAGCAGCAAAATGAAAGTGACAGAGCCAGATCCTAAACTCCTGGTCTGTTATCTCCTTGATCACAGCTCAGTCGATGGATGTACACGATAGGAAAAAAAAAAACATTTTCAGGCTTATTCACTGAGCTCTGTCACAGATATTATATAAAACTGGAATTGCCCTAGTGTTATTTTACATTACATTTGTACTTTCATCAATACAAAAAAACCAATCAAAAAACCCAATAAAACAAAAAAATGCCTCCATCTATCAAGGTCATAATTACTTTATAAAAATTAGAAGCTGATATGAACTGAGATGATTCAACTAAGTTCACAGCGTTGCTAGGGGAAGTAGGGCAAACGTCTGGAGGTCATAAAAGGCAAATGAAATGTCTATTTTAAAATTGCAGCTATTTGTGTAATCATTCAAAGATTTTCAAAGGTGAAGGGGGGGGGGGGGGGGGCAACAGAGACATCTCCTGGGGAATGTGCCTCCCCCTCTCCACTGCACACCCCAATAGTTACACCACTGTTTGAAGTGAAACATGGCAAATATTACGAACGAGCCAGGCATAAAACTCCAACAGCCTGAAGGCATACACATTTCATGTCTACTTCTTGGTATAAAAATGACAATTATACTTGACGGTGATTTCAATGGCTCTTTCTCTGCGTGCCGATGTATATGTTGCATTTCCAAAAACAAGCAATAAACATTCACCTGTAAAAACTAGAAGTGGGAGAGGGAAGATGTGTCAAAAAAGCTTAGCATGGCAACACTTAAAACTAAAGAAAAATGGAACAGTTGTACTGAGCCTTCTATTTCTGAAAATACCAAACAAAGTGTGTTAAGAACGGCGAAGGAGTTCTAACATGTACATGTTGCCGGTATGCTCACAAACCGTGCTGTCCCACTAGCACTATCAAGTATTTGGTTTCACGTACATGTACAGAAAAGTTGTCTTAAAGACTGTATGGGTATGAAATTCCTTTTACAACCCCCTCCCCTCTCACAACTTAACAGCACAAACACCTGTTAATTTTTCCCTTAAGTTTATCCATAATTATAGGTAATTATAAGTCTGCAACTATCAAAAGCCGTGTCTGTAATTAGTGATCAATGACATATAATACAATGCTTCAGTCAACCTTGATTGACTGAGTTGAAGTCCCGCATTCGCTTCCAACTACAAATTTACAACTTTATACAAATTTACAGCATTTTAGGTTACATATCAATGGCAAATATAATACATTTTTGGAGTGCAGACTGGCAAGTCTATTACATGTGCTTGCGATTCTGTGGACAGGCGAAAGAGGCCTGCAAACTTTACACATGCACTGGCCACAGCAAAATTACTACACATTCTATCTCATTAACATTGTCCTGTAGCTTTTCACAACACAAGTGCCAGCTCCCAGCGCGAGCAAAAACATGGCATCAAAATTGACAAATCAAAGTTAGTCCAGATTTCAGAGTGTTGTACTGGAGACAGGCTCCTTGGAGAACAGGTGATACTGAGACTAGGGAAATGGCTGCATTTTGTCCACACTAGGGTGGACCACAGGGGAAATTTTTACAAAATATAAGATTACAACCAAAAAAAAACCCCAAAAAATTGTTTTTAGATTTCCTTTCATTTAAACAAGCACATCTTTCAATACCATGTTTGTATTATTATAATTAGTAATTAAGCTTTAATAAATTCCACTTTGTTGGCAGGTCAACAATGACCCATGCTTCATATTTGTTGACAGTTTTGATTTTGCAATTTGCTTTTGCTCCAGTGCTTTTGCAGTTAAGACATTTATACAAAAGAAAATGACATGACAGATTTTTTTGTGCTTCCTGCCGCAAAGTATCAAATAAAGATCCTCCCGTCTACAGTTGTTCAACCAACAGAAATGTATAAACATACGTAATTGATAAGCAAATAACTTGTCACAACAAATTAATAATTTTTCAAAGGCTAATAACAACATTCGCAAACCAAACTGGCCAGTCTGACATCAATGTACATGTATACAGAAGGAAGTCCAGACCATATGTAACCCCCCCCCCAGCAAACAAAATATAAAAAAACACACACACAAAAAACCCAAACAAAAACAAACAAACAAAACGGCATTGGGTCATTCCACAAATTTGCAGTCAAAAATTTTGCCATTTTTTGGTCTCCCGTTACACCTGACCTGTGTAATTTGCCATTCAAGTATCAGGAACATTGACTTCATACTACTCATTATTTGTTTGGCAGGTAGTTTGCTTATAATCACTCTTGGGCATAGAAGGCATTAAAAGAAAGTGTCGTGAATTACACAATCTTATACGCGTCAGATGTAACAGGGACGCACCAAATTGAGCAAAACAATTTGTGAATCGACCAAATTGCTTCCGTCGCAGGGAGATTTGTCTATGAGTCAATTCGCTCCTGCTTAATTTTGACTTCCTCAGTTTGACCGATTTTGCCAGAATCTTCAGATGATTCGTTTTTGTCCTCAGAAGTTTCACTTTTGTCCTCAGAGTTTTCGTTTTTGTCCTTGGAGGTTTCACTTTTGTCTTTCGTTTTGTTTTTGTCCTCTGAGATTTTGTTTTTGTCCTCGGAGGTTTCGTTTTTGTCCTCGGAGGTTTCGTTTTTGTCCTTGGAGGTTTCACTTTTGTCTTCCGTATCGTTTTTGTCCTGGGAGGTTACGTTTTTGTCCTCACAGGTTTCATTTTTGTTCTCAGAGGTTTCATTTTTGTCCTCTGAGGTTTCATTTTTGTCATCAGAGGTCTCTTTTTTTTCATCAGAGGTTTCATTTTTGTCCTCAAAGGTTTGAGTTTTGTCCTCAGAGGTTTCATTTCTGTTGTCAGAGGTTTCGTTTTGGTCCTCAGAGGTTTTGTTTTGGTCCTCAGAGGTTACACTTTTGACCTTTTCGTCTTTGTCTTTGGAAGCTTCATCGCTGTCATCCACAGTTTCTTGCAGGCTTTTCTCTTCATCGACGACTCCTGCTGGTTCACCTGCATTGCTAGCATTGTTTTGGGCGTCTTCACTGGGTGCCTTCTTCGCTCTGCTATCATTGGAGTCATCCTTATTGGAGGACTTCTCAACCTCCATCTTCTCTTCGTCATTAGTGGAGCTCTGCTCCTGGTTTTCCACTTTTGGATCCTTTTCTGAGCAGGTCTCCTTGTTATTATCTTTGTTGTTGTTGCCTGTTCCCGACATAAGCTTATCCAAATTAAGATCATTTGGAAGTTTTTCCAATTTCACTGTCAGGGAGACATTTTTGAGCAGTGACTCGGTCACTTTTGATTCCTCTGCAGTTGGTTTTGGACTATTTGGTTCGGATTCCTTACTGCTGCTTGGTGCATCATCGGTCAGGTCAACCAGAACTTCATCCTCAATGACTACCACATCATCGTCGTCATCATCGTCATCCTCAGCTGGTTTGGTGGTTTTCATATTGACTGATATGACCTCACGTTTGTAATGTCTAGAGGACTGAAGACTGTGAGTTCTCACCTTGAAGGATTCAATCGTCAGTGAACCTCGCGGGCAGCTTTCTATGTGACAAGTCATCAGAGTTGGGGAAAGAGTACTGAATTCACAGTTTCGGCACCCGAGGAGGATACGGCCATTGTTGACAATGGTCTTCCTGATTCGGTGAAGCTTAGGAGCTGATCCAGCCTTGTGGAACACAATCATGTGGTTTGCAAAGGCTGGTCCACAGTAGGTGGTATACTTGCAGCGAGTGCATCTCATCTTCTGGCGGAAATGGTCCTTGCAATGGTCAGTGGTCATTCCACACTCCAGACATCTAAGGTGACCTCTGGGTTTGATGATCTCTCTCCTTGACCACAAGGAAGGTGATACCTTAATGTGGGTCTGCTTCGGGAATGAAACTTTCTGGACTGGAACAGCTTCAGCTGGTT